TATTTACTTATTGCTTCATTTGTTTGTTAATTATAATTTGTATAGTAACCAGAATTGTATTAGTGGAAATGGTCAAATGGTTCATTCTGAATAGTGCTGGAGTAGTAAGGTTGCTGAAAATAGAAAAAAATACAATCGTACTTAAGTACAGTAGCGGGCTATTTGTGGATATTTGGATCATGTATTTGTGTCGTGCTTTACACTTTGTACTTCTAGTCTTATAATAAGTTAAAGAGAAGAAACACATTTATAAAAAACTTTGAAAAGTAGACGTTATATAAGGCGTGTGGTGCAGTGGGTTGTGCGTTGGTGTTCGGATTAGGGGGTCACAGGTTCAAACCCCACTGCAGTCAGCATGTCGTTGTGTCCCTGGGCAAGACACTTCACCCCAAATTCCTCCTGTGGGGATTGTCCACAGTACTGAGTATGTAAGTCACTTTGGATAAAAGCGTCTAACAAGTGACATGTAATGTTATAACAAAGGTAAACCCCTGATTGTTCCTTAGCCAGACACAAAGAGACAGATGGTTTTGTAATTACCAGTCGAACTAAAACTAGATGTGAATTTAATTAAGTTACCAGCTACTTTAAAATGTACTGATCAACTGGTTTAACAATATTGTTGTACTTGTAATACGTAGGTGGAAACAACGTACAACTCCTGACACACCAGGATATCCACTGACTTACAGCAGGACTTGGCCTCTACCGGCACTAGATGTCAGTGTTCTCGCTGCTCTGTGGAACTGCAGGCAATATGAATATACAGCTCGAGGAAAATGCATCCTATTTCTCTCCCTTGAAAGTCCTCCTCGTGGATTTCATTCTATAGCCTCCTGCGTCATGACCTGATTAGTGAGGGCATCACTTTTATCTCATAATGAGCAGCAAACTGCTGAGCTGCGCTTTCTTCACGAGCCACTCTCATATCAGCCAATTCACCATCTACAGTAGCACCACTTGTTGCCAGTTCACATGTATCTTTAAATAGAAAGATAACTGTACACACTTACAAAGGGAAATCCAATGAAAGTTTGAGAATAATTTGTCCTGAGAAGGGTGAAGAAAAACAGATAAACCCAAACAGTTCCACTCCTATACAAAAAGCAATTATATTACTTAATACTTTTAAGCTAGCCTATGTTTAGTTATGACTGAAAATGTTATTTTCCGGTATAATATACCATTTGTATTTATTCTTAAAGCATTTATTTATGTTTTTATTAGGGCCGGGACTCGATTAAAAAAATTAATCTAATTAATTAGAGGCTTTGTAATGAATTAATCGCATTTTTAATCACATATAAATATTTGACCTGAGAACAGTGAGAAGCAATTTTTTTCACATGGATTTTAGTATACCAGGCATTAGGCGCATTCACCCTGCGGTACTTTTCCCACAAAGGTTCATGTTCAAGCTGCTGGGACTCCCAGCAGCTTCTACTGAAGCCTTCCGAGTAAATCGCCAGAACGCCGACACCTCCTCATCTCCACCGCTCCCATGTTTTATTTTGTGTTGCCATAAGTTAGTCTCTCTGCGTTTCTGCGCTGGGCTAATGCTAATAATGCTAATGCGAGGATAATAAAATGGCGGCTTCACAAAACTTTTTGGGAGTTTTACGGGGCGTGGTTTGCAATCCGCCCAGCCAATCAGACATATAGCTCTTTTCTCACAAGAGAGCCGTACGAAAGTCCCTGCTCTCTATCAGCTCTCTGCTCTCTAGCAGGGACTTTCGTGGGGGTAAAAAGGTTCTCATGAACTAATTTTAGTACCGGCTCTTTTTGGTGTGAACGCGATAAAAGAGGCTAACGTCCACGCTAGCTTCCACGCTAGCTGCTATATGTTTTGCATTGAGGTGATACTTGAGGCTTGATGTGCTGCGGTGATATGCGAATTCCTTTTTGCATAATTTGCACACAACCGTGCTCTTATCGACGCTTCCATCCGTCCGTTTTTTAAAACAACATTTCCCACTGTTGTTCACTGTGGTTTGTTGTTGTCTGAAGTCATGAACGTTAGTTGGTGCTCCAGTATAATCGGTACGCCTGAAACTCATCCAGTGAGAAACGTTCCGCGGTGCAAAAATAAGTGCGATTAAAATGCGTTAATTTTTTTAACGCGTTAATTTTTGTGTAATTAATTAATCTTAATTAACGCGTTAAAGTCCCGGCCCTAGTTTTTATGTTTAAAAGACCTAAAGATACGTTTTTTTAATTATACCTTACATAGACTACTTCTACACAAAAACTTCAATATTTTTTTGTCCAAAAATCTTTAAATTCTTGTTAAAAATAGATTATCCGTTACTCATATGTCAAAATGTTATAATTCATAGTTGAGCTTGGTAATGGAATAGAAAAACATTTCGTTTTTTTGTAGGGTTATTTTGGTTATTTATTGAAAAAAATCTTCATTTGGAAAACTCTAAATCAAGTTTTAGACACATTTAATTAACTACAGCACTATGGCACCACTATAAAATAAAATAAGAAGTAAATAAAAACTAAATGTGAATTTATTTGACAAATATTTATATCTGAAATACCATTTTGTTTTTTCTTTCTTTACTTTTTCTTGTTACTTTGTCTGTATACGTGTTCTCCTGATGTGAAGTTCATATTTGTCTTGAATAAAAAAAGGAAAGGAAGTTCAGAGTGGAGCTGCTGGGAGGTATTTCCTGTCATTGTCCCGACGTGGAGCAGCCAATCAGAGCTCACGTCAACATCGCAACCCGGAAGAGGGAAGCTCGAACCAAAAAGAGCGCCTTGGTTGAAAGTGGAGACGTTACCTCAAGGTAAGGCCGTACTTTTTAACATACGGTATATAATATAAACCATGTAAAGACATTTAATGTTATCTACAGCAGCTTATTCCTAACACGAAGCAGCCTCAGTGTAACAAATAACGTTATTGTTTTGTTTTACGTGATACATTGGTTGCTCATAATGCTTCTTCCCAGATTCAAGCGATAACATACTTTCGTCAAAAAGTGATATCGACGTTGCAAAAAAGGAAACATGTGTTGTATCTTTTTACTTTGCATGTGTCAAGCCGTATATTCCTCTATAAATATACAATAACTGGCAACACGTGGTAGTAGAATAACTTTCTAATGTTTGTTTAAGTAGCCTATTTTATTTATGGGGTGATTTTCCGGAAGTAATGTTATTTTAAAAAAGACAACACAACGCATATAATCATTAAAACATGTTGATCTTCTCACCTGAATGTCAGAGTGAAGTCTATTGGTTAGATTTAATTAAACTTTGAAGGGAAAAACAATTACATTGATCCACAGTTATCCAAAAAATCCCTAATCTAAGCAAGGTTAATTACAAAAACACAACAACAAAAGTTAAAATAGAAAGTGTATAAGATGTCTTACCAGTGCGAAATAAAATAACAATCAAAGGAGGATTCATTGAAATCAACCAGAACATGATACTTTATTTATCCTGGGGGGGAATTGGGACAGTTGCTGGATTTTAAAGTGAAAAAAAGAAACAGTTGATCCATTTTAATACCGTCATAAAATATGAGATCAAATAAAATAAAATAGGAATACAAATATTCATATTGTAAACATAAGAAGTTGTAGCTAAAAGCTGCAATGAATTTTGTTAATATTAACAAAGAAGCTACAGTAAAATGTCCAATAAGATAACATACAATAGATACAAAATATGTATATATAAACATAAGAAGTTAAAGTAAAAATGTGCAATAAAAAGACAATAAAATGAAATAAAGATATCCAAGGCAATGCCAGTTTATTTATATAGCACTTTTCAACACAAGGCAATTCAAAGTGCTTTACAAAAATGAAAGACATTAAGAGCATTAAACACATTAGAAACATTAAAAAGCAAAGAAAATAAAACATGAATAATAAACACATAAGAAAATAAGTAAAAATGTGCACATTGTATATCAATATATAACACATATCACAACAGTGCTGCATTACTATTAACAAGCTCTTAATGCTGAAATGCACATTTATAAGGATGTGTCTGCTGAGTGTCCTTGTGTCAGTCTATGGGGTCACAGTGAGGACATGCTTTCTACACTGAGGCGTTTGCAGCTCTGGATTCTGGCTACAGCTTCATAGTTAACTGCAGAGACGTGTTGTTGGATGGCTCTGTAGTTTCGCTCGTCCTCCAGTCACAGCGAGGCTCACCATGTGAGTGTCTCCCCGTGGGAGAGGTGCACCCTGGGTAGCATTGATCAGGCCCTCTTGTTTACAGTGTATCCTCCTCGGGGACAGAACAGGGGTTAATTGCTGTTAAAGCTCTGCTCTCTGCCCACTCCTCGCTCTGCTAATACAGAGGAGATGACACTAATGAGGGGAGGGGGGGTAGAAGCTTCTACACTGCTGTAAGTCGGCTGGGGGGGGGGGTTACCACAGCTGGTTAAAATGAACAGACTCATTTATGTCTGTTTTATCAAGTCATCCATTTTCTCTGTGTTAATGATTCGAGAATTCAAACATTTCCCAATTTGGGATCAATAAGGTATCTCTCTATCTATTCTCACTTCTACTGTTATGCCACAATTATAATGTATCTCAGACAACATTTGTTTACGTGAGTTATTTTTGTTTGGCTTAGTCAAACAGCATCAAATAGGAGAAGAGAAAGACACTTTAAATGTCCAAATGATCATATCTAGAAGTGACCTGCTGGTTAGGGTGTGGATTTTAGTAAATAATAAAAGGTTTTCATTTTGAACTGTTACTCTCCCCTGTTCTTGTATCAATATGAAGGGACGTGATGTTGGTATTAAAAGTGCTCTACTTTGAGTTTGTTTAGTCCAAATAGTATTGGCCAATCATGTTAGAGCGCGCTTTGTTTGACTGCAGGTATCAGCGGGCAAAGGAAGGAGAACGCATTGGCCGAAATGCAGTCTCTAAACCGATTGGCTATCATCTGTAAAGGGACTACTTGTGAGAAAATCAATGTGTCTCTGTCTTTACAGTGTCCTCCTCGTCACTACCAGCATGAGTTTCTCCCCTGATCCAGTCGGCCCCCCCCGGAGGAACAGATATCCAGGAGCAGAGGGACCGCTGGGAGCGCAAACGCAGCCGAACAGCCAAAGAGTTGGTGCAGACGGAACAACGCTACTGCCAGCAGCTAGAGCTGGTCACCACCGTACGTACTGATCACTCAGAGCCACCTGATCTAAAGTATCAGTGACATCTCCTTTTGCAATGATGGGTTTATTTAAGTTTGATTTATAAATGATTAGGTTCAATTCCTTCCTGAGTTTGCCTGACCTCTTCTCTCCTTGGATCCTCTCTTCTTTTTCCTCTTCCACATGCTATTTCCATTACCTTCTATGTTATAAGATAAACAAATCACATTTATGATGGCTACAAAAAGGTACCTAGTTGAGTTTAGGAAGTCTGAGATCAAATCTCTGTGAAGTAACATCTGCATCAACACTCTTTTGGACATGGTGTCATGGAGGCAGACAAAGCATCATAAAACGAATCTCCTCACTGCAGTCTTACTATTAATCTATGACTGCTTCTTTTCTAAAATGTAGAAAGATATTGGCATGCTACGACTGCTGTTACATCTGACCAAGGTTTACCTCTTCTAAAAGGCCAGTTTAGCCAAATGACCTATTATCTCACTTTTATCCAACTATGTTCTGCCCCTTATCGCGGGCAGGAATGTGTTGGCAGCAGACTAAGCAGGGTTTGAGGGTAGGGAGGTTTTTCCATGCAAGATGAAATATATAAATACATTACCATTATTTACTTTTATCCAAAGAAACTACCAATAATGACGTAAAAGGACTATTTAATAAATAGTTTTTACATTTGAATATGTCATTTTTACTGCCCTGAGCACTCTCGCCATGGCAGGATACCACTAAACGAAAATGTGTATTTCCATAATTAGGGTATACCAACCCAAATATTTTGTCCACACTGAAAATATCAGGGTTCTTACGGTCATTAAAAGCCTGGAAAAGTCATGGAAATTCAAAATGCTAATTCCAGGCCCTGGAAAAGTTATGGAAAACAATATTTTTCCCAAAGTTTTGGAAAAGTCATGGGAATGTAACTAAAGTTGCATCAAATATAATTTATATTTTATCTAATCGCCGAAATAGTAATACTATAATGATAATAAATACTGTATTGAATAGTAATGAAACGTAAAATGGCATTTATCTGACGAGGTATTTTGCTGGTGAGATTGTATTTGCTTTAGCGTGTAGAAGCTAGTAAGCCTACTATTTGATTTGTTTTAGATAGGCACAACATGTTTCAGAACTTATTTTCATGTTCCATGTTAAAATAAACCATTTTCAGTGGTACCGCTGAGAAAAAGTAATTTTTTTGGTCATGGAAAATGAGGTAAAGGTCATGGAAAAGTCATTGGTGAAAAAGTGTATGAACCCTGAAATATACAGTAAAGTATATACAGCGAATAAAGACAAAAACGAAATTCTTAACATTCCCAGAGGCCACCGCAACATTAAACACGTGAAGTGCACTTTCTGAACAACACATTAACAGAGTAAAGGTAGCATTGGGGGAAGTGGTCCTCCCTGTGGAGAGAACAGACTCACCACTGCGACCTCATTTCTACACAATTACTCACCCTCCACCCGTTCACTCCAATTAGGAGTCATTTTAGGCCTAATGCACATGCAATTTGCTAATCCCATTTTCACTTCAAATGACTTGAGACCGGCACAGCTGTCACTGTGTTGTGAGCCTTAATGTACAACAACATCCCTCTGTACTGTGCTTCATATGAGCCATGCAGATGAGTCCCGTGTAATGGTAACATATAATGGATTTAGCTTTAAGGCAAACCAACCTCTAAGTTAGTATGTGTTTTGTTCATCTGTTTGCTTAGTTTGGAGAGTGAGATGTCTGCACCTCATTAAAAAAGAAAATCAAAGGCTTATCCACTCAGATAAATAACATAATTGTATCTCTGCTCTCTTGTTTTTTTTTTCACAGTTCTTTGTGGAGATCTTGAAGGCCAAAGGAACCCTGAGGCAGGACATTAGAGAAAGCATCTTCAGTTCAATTAAAGCCATTCATTCTGTAAACCAGTAAGTATCCTCTGAATAATTTACACAATATCTGTGGGATATTGGCACGAGGATTAGCCATTCTTTCTTAAGAAACGCCATCTAGATAAGCTCTTAGTTTACCAAAGCATATTCCTTATCTTCGCCATTAGTGGAGTCAATGATATTGTGTTGCAGCGCTGAGATGTTCTCTTTCCCCGGTGGATGCATATCAGGTATAATCACTCCAGGTGGTATCACAAGTGAAGAGCTTTATTGTTCTTCTAGACAGTTCATGGCTTCTCGTTGCCTACCTGATTTGCTTATGAACGTCTCAGAGAGCAGAGACAGAGCTGAGAGAAGCCCATCTCTTCACATTGAAGTTATTTTTGGAGAAATAATACTGGAAAACACAAAGAGACTGCTGGAAGCTGGAACTGCTGTCTTTCAATACTGAAGGTTGACTGAAAGGAAAACTTAAATGTAACAATTTCAGTAAAGTACCATCTATCAAACACATTTGCCTCTTGTCTACACTCCAATCACATAAAGGCACCACCTTAAAATTCATACAGACTTCAAAGCGGTTCATTTGTGAATGATGTCACCCAAGGCTTACTTAGATGATTCCCAACAAGAAAACGGTCCTTTTTATATCAAAATATGTATAAAGTCTAATGTTTGAATTGTTCAAATGACCTCACATAATTTACATTGATCTTTCTCTCAAGGTGCAGTAAAAAAGAGATCTCCAAGAACACTTGAAAGACTTGGATATGTAAATAAAAGGTTTATGTTTGAAGTTAGTGAATGTGTTTGTACTAGGGCATGTTATATATAAATCAATGAAGTAGAACAATTTGGGGTTTTTGAAAGCTGATAGCAAAACTGAATTATTTTCTTTCAATGTGTTAAAACATTTTTTTTATATTTGTTGGATTTTAGTCTTGATTCTGAGGCATTTTACGAATGGATACACACAATTTATTGGAGAAACTCCCTCCAGGTGGCACTTTGGGATGTAGCCTTTGCAGACCATTTACATGCACAAAAACACAACACATTACAGGAAGTTGAATACCCCTAAAAGCATAAAAGGGCCCCTTTAATAATCACCCCTATTGGCTGCTGCTGGTACCAGGCTTCACAATTACGGTCAGTCGGCCTCTAAATTCGAGGAACCCACCGTATTGGCTTTCTATTGTCTGAGAACAGCTTAACTGACAAACATGCAATTCCCTATCAGAAATACACAGTTTAACAAACAGTGGAGCGAGTGGTTGGGATACCTTTGATTGGGAGTTCCATTTCCAGACTAAATAATGAGCGGTGCCGTTCCCTCAGGCTCCCATCCTCTGCAGACTGACAGGCTTTCTTGTTGAGAGTGCTACGATGAAGATTGAAGCATACATTACACAGTCTGATGTATTGGATAAATGGTTCTGCAGTTCCCATACATCTTCATTATGAGCCCCTTATTGAATCAATGGTTGAAACATAATGGCAAGCACCCATTTAAAAAGCGGTCCATGGAGAGACAGTGTGTTAGTGCTAGACTGATTTACCACTGCTCAGTGATTGATTATGGATTTTCCCATATTCTTCCACTTTCTTCACTGTGACATTTAGTATACATTGAATATATGTAGGGTAGAGCCAGGAATAATAAGCGTGGTGATAATTAGCTATCAAAGATGGATGGATGTGGGGGACTTCCTCAATCCTCTGTCAAAACATGACACGTCAAGTAAGTCAATCTTAATGCAATAAACCGTATCTAAGTAGCATGTTGCTATCGTGTCAGCCAGGAAGCGCACTGTCTCTTTAAAACGAAGGGCTGGGAATCAAACCGTGCAACTAGGCAACACAATTCATTGACATGTTATCACAAAATGGGTTAGTGCAGTATTCTAATCACAGTAGGCGTAATATTTGTGTTCATATTATTTTTGAAATAATAACCTTGCGGTGCTGCAGAGACATCCCGATGTTTACTGCAGACTTCCACAGAAATCTATATTTGGTATAGATCCTCCTGAAGAGAATCACACCTTATCATATCAATGATAATGAGAATAATGATGCCAAACCGATCTATCCCTCCAATATTTTGGATCATATTGCAATATGAGTCAAAAATAATCGTATTTCTTCCAAATGTTGCAGCCCTGCTACCAACATATATTCTTGTGTGTACCCAAATGTGCCAAAACAGTATTGTCTGGTTGGAAACAATTTTATATTGTTTTAACAGTTTCTTATTTGAATATTTTATTTGTTCCGAATCATTCTTGTTTAACCGCTCGTGTTTCAAATGCCGTTTAACTTCGACTTTTTTTTATGGCTTGTGTGACAACAAAATGAGTTTGGTTTAAACCCATAAACCCAGTAATCAAAGCCCTGTTAGATGTAAAATATTTATATTTTACGTTGAATGGTACAGGAAAGACAAATAAAACATACAGCTACGATTACCTACTCTCTTACAACTTAATTCTGTTGTAAAACAAATCAAAACCCTAAGAAAGGTTATCAGAATCAGTGCACCAACAGAAAGCTTAACAAGCAGGTCACATTATGATAGAGCTCACTTTAAACTCCAGCTGAATGCGAAATATATTGCGGATGTGAAGTGAATCGACGTCTCCATGAGAGAAATATATTCGCAAGATGATTTCAGCAGCTGGACACTGATTCCTCAGATGAGCTGTTGATCCTCAGCAGCAAGAAACCACTCGAATGGCAGAGTGAGAGCGTCAGCCCTGCACAGCCTAATGGTTCTCTGATAGTAACACAAGTGTGTCAGTGTGCGCACAGTGGAGGTGTATTCATCTGATGTTCCTCTCTTTATTTACTTAACTCCATTTGGTGTGCGGTGGAAATCGTAGTATTGAATTCTGCCTTCATTAAGCTTTGTTGAGTTTCATAAGAAAAAGGAGCTGTGAATATATTGATATGCCACGCCATTCATTCTGCTTCTGACTGTTTATGGAGAGCAATCCAATTATCCCCAGCTGCTAACAGGAGTCAGCTACTTGAAATAGCTGTCAGTGGATCCAGTAAGGAGGAACAACAATCGGCAATAGATGTGAAGGGAAGGAGGGGGGGTCACAATGAAAATAGGGTCGTGTTGAGACGACATAAGAGTGACATGAGTCAATATGTCTCAAGAATCTCATTTTACATTTAAAGCGAAGCAAGAAAACGTTTTTATACTGCTTTGTTTCTTCTCAGTGACACATGGCAACCGTTATTTCATTAAGTAGCCGTTTATGTGACACAGTGTCCTAACAATTAGTATTCCTCTGTTGAAGACGTCCCCCAAACCAAGGCGCCTTGTCCTGAATTGTTTGGTCGAGGTTGCATCCGCCCCAGATGTCGCCACCGCTCGGAATTAATGTGGATTAAAGCGACACGCACAGAATGCTAATGCTATCTCCGTCCTGCTGCTGATGGCCAGACAATTTAATTGCTGCGGGAAAAAAGCATAAAAAATGTAATCCATAATTTCATATTCATCATAATAGCCTCTGGCAGTGAGAAGGAGAAAAAAAACGGAAATACAGTTTTTCCCGCCCTTTGCCCTCGTTAGAACTCTCTCGGCTGCTCCTGCATCTCCTGATTATGAACAGAGGCTACCTTGGCGCACAACTTCATTAAAATCTATTTAAATCAACTTCAACGGCAAAGTGCTCCTTCTTTCTGTATGTACGAATGGAAGTCTCTGGGAACATCATTAGAGGGTAGGATTGTGTGTACGTGTGTGTGTGTGTGTGTGTGTGGTACTTCCTCTAAGTTTGGATAACAAGCTCCTTCACAAGTGTCAACACCCCCAACCAATTGCGTCCGTGTTACTGTAATGTGCCTGACAGGCTGAACGACTGCCATGCCTCCGCCTTGATCCAGTTGTTTTGTTCCTGAGTTCAGCGTGGCGTGTTCTCACTACAAAGTGGCCCTGAAGGTAGACCCACCGCCTTGGTCCCGAGTAAATACGACACCCACAGGGAGAGGCCTTCAAATGAAAACCGCGGAGCCTCGCCCGCTAAACCTCCCATTAACGGGGAAGCAATCCTCTGAGCTTTGCTCAACCTCCGCACTCTTTCTAAACAAGTGTGTCTTCGCCGAAAACGACGCCTCAGATATGATCTCTCCTTATTTGAGCTCCCTTTTTCCCACTGATGCGTAGCAGCAGTGCATTGTCAGGCAGTAATGTGCACTAACTCAAAGTCCAATGCGGTTTGACTGCAGGCTAAGTGCTCACTGGGGGGCACTTTGAAAATGAACGCGGCAAAGATCTGTGATGCACAAAAATATGCCGCACATATTGAGATACTTACCTCTGCCATGTCCTGGGTTAAAATAGGCGTGTTTTCTGATTCAGTAATGAGGGCTGCCTGTTTGCATGCCATGGTCAGCATGTTGTACAAATGTATGATGTTTTTTTATTTAATCCTACTGGACTTTGAGGAGTAAAGAAATCTAATGTTTCTGACCAATGCTGGCAACACTTTTGGTAAAATAAACTATAGGACTTGTGGTTCCTTTAGGAAGTAGATGCTATGTTTCTAGATGCTTTAATAGCTGATGTAAACCTTTTATCTCCAGAAGCACTTAAGAAAATTACCGATTTATAATATAATCTCAGCTATTTATTTCCATTATTTTGCAGTCATTCAGCCCTAGTATGATTATTTTATATTTGATTATGTGTAAACTGTTATTCGTTATTTTTTCAGATCTCTGCTGGTCCATTTGGAGAACAGCTACTTTGGCCGAGGTTTCGAGCAATTCTGTCCCCACCTTTCCCACTACAACACGTATGCGGACAACATCTACAAAGCCAGAAAAGCGCTCACGGTAGGAACACAGTAATTCCACATGTAAACACACTGCTCTCTCACACATTACATTACATAGCTGATGCAATGGCAACACTTTCATGTATAGCATTGCTGAACTAGTTTGCAATCCACTTTCCAAATAAATTGGTTATATGGTTCTATTATGAACTCTAAATAGTTTTTACTAGAAATTGCATGCTGGAACTATTTCTTGGCGAACAAGTTATGGGTGTAGTAACTTTAGTCTTTATGGACTTTACTTTAGAAGTAATGGGCGGATGCATTTATTGTTTGTCGAGAAATCGTTTCCGCATGTAACGCCTGCTGAATTGATTGTCAGTGAGCTTACAAGGTGTCAGTAGGTGTACTTTTAAACTCCATACAAAGTTTCCCGGGCTTCCAGTTCTTATGCTAGCACGTCCTGACTCGAACTACATACTTGTCACAAGACACGATTGATTGATGTCACACATATTAATCTCAGAAGAAATCAAACGAGCATATTTCCCAAACTGTTGTAATATTCCTTTAAACTTTACCCCAGCACATTTCAACACAGCTTTCCATAAAACCAATCCTGGTACAGTACAACTTTCTGCTTTGTTTGTGGATTAGCCATGCCGACGTCTTGCTAGCTTCGCATCAAAGCTGAAAAGATAATATTGTCTTAATTATGAGGCACGATGTGTCGGCGGAACGTTGACTAATTGCATTGATTACGTACCAAGCCCTGTAAGTTTGCATTGATCCTGCTGCAGATCGACATCCATTGTAATTGACTGAACAGGGAAGCGTGTTGTAGTGACAGGTGTGCTCGTTTACTCAGGTGACCAATGAGCAAGCTTCTAGTAGAAACCACTCAGTGTCTTAAGAAGATTAATCTATGACCCACATCAGTCGGATCATGTTAGGCCTGTAATAAAAGAATGGGCTAAAGAAATCTAATGTGATTGATGCTGTGTGTGTCTAATGCAGTGCTGTAACATTTGTTTTTATACTCGAAGTTGGAAACCTTCAACACTAAATCCAAACAGATTTACACCCTGACTTCCCTCTGTCACTACTACACCTCCTCAACCTGATAAGGGATTCCTCTCACATTGTCCACATCACTCTACCTACACACCACCTGTCTGCGTACCACAGATGGCATCTAAAGTCAAGTGGCATACACTGATGTTTCCCGAGTTATGAATTAGCTATCCTCAGGTCTATTTAAATTCAGCAGCCATGTTTATTTTGATGATTTACGGGGATGACAAGATAAGGCTTTTGTCGTGCAAATGTTGACATACACTCGTGCTGACATGATGTATAAATGCATATTTAATAATACCCACAGCCTCCCTTCCCCTTCACCTCCTCATTCCTCAGCTGGAAATCTAGAATATTGAGTGACAATGAGACGATTGTGGGGTCTTGTCAGGGAGAGAACGCATCTAGAAAGTGACATGAGATTCAGGGATCGTCACTGGTTGTGACATGTGACATTACTCGTCAACAAGCTGCATGCAGATGCTGTGAGCCAAAAACATGCAGAAAGTACAGATGGGATGCTGTGTTTCTGATTAAATGCTAGGCACAGTCTCATAAAAAAGGTGTAGTTACATGAAGTGCAGTCTTAAAAATGTTATTTTAAAGGTCCCATATTATACAGTTTTTCATCAATATATTATAGGTCTATAGATATACTAAACATGTCTGTGAAGTGTTTTGCTCGAAATACCAAACAGATCATGCATTGGTTTTGGTATTTGGTTAAAAACAACACAATGGTGATCTAGGAGGAGATTCAGGTGATAAGGGGGGGGGGGGGTTACCTTGGTTGGTTATTGGCTAATGCTTACACAAGCCAAAAAATCGTTATGACATCATAAAGTGGCCAAAATCTGATCAGCTCATTTCAGACAGGTTTTTATATAAATGGATCAGGACAAAAAGTGAGCAAATCTTTTTTCCTGAAACTTTCAGAATCTCTTTACACAGAGGGGACACATGTTCGCTACTTTGTACCTGTCAGAGAATAACTTCACAGCTTTTTTTTTTTTTTAGATCCAGCTGAAGAAAAACAAGGCCTTCAGACGCTTTAAGAAACTGCAGGAAGCCCGAGAAGAGTTCAAAAACCAAACACTGGAGGAGTTACTTCAACTTCCGGTTCTGAGGATTGATCAGTAAGATTTTTGTTTTTTTCTTTGAATTAGACGACCCGAATGAAGTAGTCCAATGGAGGCGTTTCAGGCAGAGTGTGTGGGAGAGAAATGTGAACTTTGGGATTTTAGCCTTTGCAGATCATTTACATGCACTAAAACCTATACAACACATGGGAAAGGGAAAACCTCAACAATCATAATAGGGCCTCTTTAAAGATTCATGTTATCAACCACTTCAACATGACTGATGTCGCTACACACACACACACACACACACACACACACACACACACACACACACACACACACACACACACACACACACACACACATACACACACACACACACACACACACACACACACACACACACACGTCAGTATAAGAAATAAGTATAATAATAATAAAGCTTTATTTATATAGCACTTTTCAGACAACACATGCAGCTCAAAGTGCTTTACAAAATGACACATCACAAGTTAAAAACAAACAAGAAATTCCCCTCAGATTATTTGTTAAGAACTTTACAGGTACATGCAGCAAAATATAAAATGTTATCAGGTTAATAGACATAAGGAGGTAAAATGTATGATAATAAAAATAAAATAATTAATGGTTTCTCTCTGACAGATAAGACACAAGACATTGACAACTGAGTCGATGCAACAATATATAAAATATAATATAAAACCCCATAAAACAAAGAGTGGGCGAATTCTATCCTAGCCTCCTATGTTATGATACATGAATATAACATCATATTCATCAGTGTTCCCATGATGTAATGTCTTTTAAATCAACAACTTGATGATCTATATATATATATAATATAGCTAGAGGGAAATGTTTACTGCACGTTTTCAATTATGTCATTGTAATTGATGCTGAAGTGATATAAAATATCTCTTTGTTTTACTTAAACACCATTTAAGTGTTTGCGGAGGAGTTATCGTGTTGTTGTTCCACCGTGGAGGAGATGGGTCACAGATTCCATGCTTGACTTCTGTTACATGTTTTCCTATTACTAGTCACCCACCGCACCGCACAATCTATAGTCTTTGTGACAGACGCAATTATTATTATTTGATGTAGCAGCCATTTAAGTACTCCAACTGTTCACAAACTGTCAAAAATCTCTTTTGTTAAGCATAAGTTTCCGTTGGCTGTAATTTCATGCGGTCTTGATTTTGCTTGTTAATTAGTGGAACGGGGAGAAATGGGCTGAAACGTGCGTACCAATGCAGCGGATATCTGACAATGGATTGTCAAGCTGCTTGTTTGTATCTTAATTAGGCTCTTCTCGTGTTGACATCTCTACAGATGTACAGTTGAGCTCTATAAATGTTACATCCATCCATCATGCAAGAGGGAAGTTTTCTCTGAGATCCCCCTTCCCTTTAACAACTGGACACTTAGCTGTGTATTTAATTGATGTTTACTTTCTCCCCGACAATCAATCACCGTCCATTCCTTTTCTCACTGCTCCCACGCTTCTGGGAGAATGAGGGACTATGGAATGCTTGTTTCCAGTCCTTATAAAATGTTATAGGGATGAACCAATTAGGGCTGCTCAATTAATCGTATTTTAATCGCAATTACGATTATGGCTTGCAACGATTACGAAAACAACGTAATCAAAATAAAACTATTATCTTTTTTTTTTGTATTGGTTTTTCAGTTGAATTATACTTAAAGTTCAGGGTATTCAACTGTTCAAAACATACTGTTCACATTTTTTTTCTCAAATAAATTGATGTTTTCAAAGTAAATGGATAATCGTTTTTAATAATCGTGATATCAATTATTGACCCAAATAATCGAGATTATGATTTTTGCCATAATCGAGCAGCCCTAGAACCAATCAATGATGACCCTTTATTAATTCCCAAGGCAAAATTAATCTCCATTGTAAGTCAAAGATTTTGAATTAAAATCGATTTTAAAATATAGAACAGTACAATTTGAAAGAAACAATAAAGGAACTATATTGTCAGCCATATTATATTTCAATGGAAAATAACCAAAAATTACCTATCTATCAGTATTTCCCTTAGCTGGTATATACAGGACTCATAATGTCCCTTTAACATGTCGTAGCAGCTTTAAAATCAGCTGTGGTCTAGAGAGAATAATCAGTAAGGTAACAAACGTACAGCAACACAATATTCGTATTAAAAGCAATAAGGAACGTTATACTTGCAAGTATGACGTCTCCTCCAAAGAGCACGTACTGTTCTGAGTAAAACAGGCTCTCTTTATAAGAGAGACATCAAAGCAGATTTACATTACAACAACATTCTGGGAGGCCAGTGGATACCGCCTCTGGCACTGTATGCAAAACCATCACACCCTACAAGACAGTGGGATATACAGATACCCCTCAGACACAGTATGCAAAACATCACCCCCTAAACACGTCTGTTGACCACACATACATTTAAGGTTCACTCCCAGATGCCCCTTTCACACCAACGCGTTTTCAGCTCCGGCTCGGAGCTGGAGCCTGAAAAGTGCCGGTTTTTCCTGTTCACACTGCAGCGGCGCCGCCTCTTAGCTCCGGAATCCGGTTCACTTCCAGCACCAAAAAATTGTCGGTCTAGAGGCAAGAGCTTCGGAGCTAAGAGGCGGCGTCGCTTACGTCGAGGCGTGCAGGAAACTAAACCCACCTCCCCTGAACATGGGTCGACTGTCATGCCTGCCTACAAGCAGTAGTGCTTATAAACACACTTTATAAAGTCAGGCAACACTAACCAGGCTTCGTGTGATTCTGTTTATTTGTACCTTACTTTGACCATCCGTTCACTGTTATTGATCATTATGGAGAGAGGCAGACGTTTTGTTTTGTATTAGCTATCGGATGGAATCAATACATGGGCTGCACAGGTTGTCGTGTCCGACTATCACAAGTAGAATCATAATAAAAATACGCCGGTAAAATGTGCCTGGAGAAAACGGTTTATGCCACAATAGGATAGCAATAGCAAGTAGTCAGTTTAGCTTCGGTTGCTATGCTAACATCACCCATTTTATACCAGAGAAACTTTCATAACAGCGTTGTGATACCAAACAGCGTCAATTCAGACTGACACACATTCACTTAGGCTAAGGGGAACTGGGGATATGTATCAGCTGCTTGTGTGAGTCGGACAGTGAATACTTTAGAGCGGCCGCTGCAGTGTGAGCTAACCGGGAGCTAACGGGAGAATAAACTCCCGTGGAAGAGCAGCCAACACTGCAGCGGTCGGTAAATGCCGCAGAAACACATTAATAAACAATGAACCACGGCACTCTGGAGAAAAGTGTAAGGTTGGAGAAGTCGTGATTTAATTTAATCTGGCTTCGTGTGATTAAAAGCAACACGATCAGCTCTGGGCGGTGTGAACAGAGCGGGAGCAGAAAAGGGAAACCGGAGCTGAACCAGAAAAGCTCTAGCTCGGAGCTAGAAAGGGAAAAGCGCTGGTGTGAAAGCCGCAAGAGAGATGACCTAATCAGAGAAACTAAGGCCCCGGCCACACGAGGACGAAAACGGTCGTTTGCGTTACTGTTTAGTGTCATATAGACCGTTCGGCCACATGAGGACGACCGAATACGGCACTAAACGACTGCGGAAACGATAACGCTCTGGGGGGTCCAACGGCTCCGTGTGTACGCCCCTATACGATCATTTTCTGATAATGATTGCGCAATAGCCCCGCCTCTCCCCACCTCTGCTGCTCACCTCCGCATCAAAGTAAACTGCACACTGAATTCAGATTATTTATCTTTCTCTCGATATGGACATAAACGCGAGTGAAGTCTAATCTGACAGGACGGAGACACCTCTCAAACTACCTAAACTAGTTATAAATATGTTTATTTGTACTGTCGGCCGGGTCACTCATTACTGGATCAGCTGCTGCATGAAACAGACACTGACGCTGTCCGAAGAGAGGGAGGAAAAAGAGAGGCTCCATGTATTTTATTATTATATTATATAGATTCGTTATTCATTTGTTTTAAAGCTCAATAAATAACAAAGAAGACCTTTGACCGGCACTTTTATAATTTTGTCCGGAAGATTTAAACTTTCCCTCGGCCCCCACCGCGGAGAATAAACAGAAGGGCAACCATGACAACCATGCTTCTTCGCTGCTTTTGTGGAGGAAGTTACAGCGCCACGTACAGGCTCCTGCATATGTACTGCAGCTTCTCCAGCGGTTGGAGCTAAACTGAGCTGTCTCGTGTGGGCAGACACTATCCGGTGAATATTACGTGTGGACGGAAGCTTTTTTGCGTTTGCGTTAATCCTATGCGTTTAGCCGTTTTCGTCCTCGTGTGGCCGGGGCCTAAGGTTAGCAATGTTAAACACATTTGATTGCACAATTTCCTTAACAAACAAAAATCACCCGTAGCACAATTTGAAGTGTACTTAAATTTGTACGGTGTCGGCCCCATCGCGATAATATCGTAATATTGTTATCCTATGTATTTTGGCCATGATTATCAAATTTGGTGACAGCCCTACGTCTGCTATATACAAGTCTTAATGCATTTGAAAATATCTTTCAATATTGTCTCTCCCAGTGTGGGAGGCCTGTTTGCTTGTTACCAATAGGGGAAATGACAGTACTCTCCAATGAGTATGCTGACCACTGTTGTATTTGACTCTGACACATAATCAGTTGGCCTCATTCTCTCCTGCTCTTCTCTCCCTCCGCCTTTTCCTCCCTGCACTACCCATCATCATCATTGATTTGTCTGTCGTTCTCGGTGAAACTCAGGAGACTCGAGGGAAGTGTCTAATTGTCGGATGATTTTAAGTGGCAAGGCTAGATAATCATCTGCGTCTGGCGCCTCACCTTGCTCCGGCTCCGTGGACGGGAATAGCAGGAAATTGTTGTCACTTATCGCCATTCAAGGATGATGGATGGCGAGCAGGAGCCCAGAGTGTGGATACTTATGTTGCTGCTGGGGGAGGAATAAAATCATTGCCTTTATTAAGTGGCATTCACTTGAGCCGGCTGGAGCAGTGATCGGCCTCCTCCCCGCTGAGATCACAATTATGACAGCGATGGGGTCTCGAGTTGATTGTTGCGGTGAATAGCAGCCCTTAACGCCTGTGTTGGCAGTGTTGTGTCGATAATAGAGATGCAGCTCTCATAAAGATGGCAGCACTTGGAGGCCTTGGGATGTATTTGCTCTAAGCTGGGCACCATTTAATATAACAAGGGAACGGCCCAATGGTCGTCTCACTGTAGAGAGTGAGCAGACTCTATGTAAAGGTCTCGGGGTCATTGTCATACTTGCCGAGCGTTGTGTGGAGCTGCGCTGGCCATGCTTGATTTTGTCTTTCAATTGTCAAGATGGGATTTGAAATGGACTACTTTATGTGCTCGGGTAGTTCCATCCCCTCCAAACAGCTGAACACAATGAGGTTCTCCGACACAAGGTCAGAGCATTGATTAATTTCTTTTGAAATAATTCTGAATATAGCATGGAGTTTTATTCTTGAGTAGTTCCTCTCAATGGTTCATCTTCAGGTTGTGTTTCCTTTTCAATAATTTGCGTTACTTTGTCTGTTAATTCGCCCAGTAGTTCATTGCCAAGTTTGAAGTGAGGCTTGCAAAGAAGCAGTGTCTCAATTATGGTGTGACACATTGTTCTGTTGTGAATCATCCATTGATTTAAATCACCCTGAATGTAGAAACAGTATTTCATAGTTCACGATAAGGTTTAATATTGGGATTATCAGGGTTTTGTCTAAACCGGGTAACAGGAGCGCTGCGCCCTCATACCAAAATGCCGATTATCTCGGCAAAATGTTAAAGTGATGCCAGAAAACAATATTTATGTTCGTAAAAAAACTGTATAATTACTCCAAAACTGTGATTTCTGAATTAGATAGTTTCTTCCTTTTTTCTGTAGAGGAAGTAAAAAAAAACGTTACTCGGGATTTATTTGTTGTTTGAGGTGCAATATATGACTCAACCGCTTCAAACTATAATTTTCCACGGCGCTCTATGCATTTTCTTCACCGGGAAGTGGGCGGGGCCGTCATTTTGTCCGGAAGTGACATTAGCGTCCTCATACTATATTTTTCTAGAAAAACCCCTGGGTTTGACATGCTCTAACACAATCAGTCTGGTACAGTATTTGTTTTTTGTCCGAATATTGAACTACCTAGAACAAATTTAAATGAAAAATATAAACATTGGCTCTTATAAAGTTATGATGACAAGCGGAGAACAGATCAACTTTACCTAATAGGCATCAGTCTCACTCACCAACTTTGTTCCATGCTACTTTCCCTAATCAAAGAAACATAAAATAAAAGCATGTCAAATTGTTCCAGTGTTTGAAAGTTGAAATGCAATTAATTCATTGAATAATTGTTTTGTCTGCCATGTCAAGTATACCAGTTTGTGTTGGTACCTTTAATTACCTGTCATGTGAGAGCAGCATACTTACACTAAATACACTTAAAGTAGATTATATTCAAAGTAGATACTGTCTTCAAAGATGCATCCTTTGTCCATATAGCACTATTGAAAGACTGATTTCAAAAGGATGACACTGAATCATAGGTTTGAGCCTTTTAAAAAACGCTTTACGAGTGCTGTACATTTCCCAACAGAGAATATCACTCAGCCCACTTACCAGAAACCAGATTTTAGTCAAGACTGTTTGTGAAAAGTAGTTGGTTGAGTGTAAGAAAAGGGTGGGAGGCATATTGTGGAAGGGACATTTAGCTGAAAAGCGACTAATGATAAAGGGAAGAAAAACAAGTCTGATGCCTCGACTGACAGGATTCTTTACTGATGATAGTAATCATCAAAGTTCATGAGGCAGCCCTAATTATTTCCCGGCTTGTATTAACTTAAAACTGCCCGACTCTAATTTTCTCACTGATTTAGGTTGACTTATGCAGCAGCAATCGTTAATAAAAGCTCTTGTCCTTCTGAAGTTTGACTGAAAAGTGTTTCCTAATGTCTACTTCCTTTTCTCTTTGAGTAAATTCCCTTATAGTGAAAGATAAGACGCTCTCAACAATCACTTCATATTACATTTTAATTGCTCAATTTTGGACAGTGGAGTATCTCTAGTCTCCTGCATTTACCACGGATGTGCATTCCTTTCCTTTTAAGCTATTAAAGTTGAGTAATTACCCACAAGCCCATGCCATGTTCAGTAACCCATGCAGAAGCCTGCCAGCGCATCTTGTCTCTTAATTACACATTTGAATCCTTAATGCACGTATGGTAAGTACAAATAATTAGACAGATATTTCCTCCGTCTCTTTTCCTTTACTGACGTGTGTGCAAATGCCCAAATGACCTGACATGTGTGCCAGGAGAGAGTGAGAGAAAAGCCTTGCATATCATCTGCATATTATAAAGGAATTAGCAGCCGCAAACACCTCCCTCCACCAGCGCATGCTTCTCTAAAGCTGCATTCTTCATTAGAATATCTGAACTGTCATAAATATGGTTCAGATTACGCTATTGTCTCATTATCTTCTCTTTGCTTTGCTGCTAATGAGCGGGACAGGGCAGCTAAATGAGAGAGTTCCGTTTACATTATTTGAAATGTGCTGTGATAATGCTCATTAGAGTGTTCTCTTTTTGTTGCGCAGTTGCTTTAATTAGATTTTCGTCTCCACTCCTTAATAAGAACGAGGGCATCCATCGCTAATAATGCCTGTAATATATTTGTTAGTACAAGAAGAGACAAGAAGGGAAAGGAGTGAAATGATTTCTCTCTTTAAGCGTCTCTTAATTGGAGGAGGCTTAATTGGGTCTTGTTTGGCTTTCGTTTTCTTGCCAATGAGTAATCGACTACATGCCCTCCTCCTCCTCCTCCTCCTCCCACAGACCCACCGCTCTGCTAACCTGCCGTTCTATACTTCCGCTCTATAAATGATTGGTAATGCTTCACAAGCACACCTGACCAGGTTAGTTTCAGTTCAAGTTTTTAGTGATACCCCAAGGCTATCTTGAGTGGATGGTGTTTCTCAGTTTTCAAGGAGCTACTGGGTTAGTTGTTTTCACAGGAGCAAAATATGAAACCTCTGCCTCGTGAAAACGTGGGGAAAATAGCGACTTTGTCATCTCAGGTATCGGATATGAATTTCCTCATTAATCTTAATGTCTGGCCGCCCTTAGCTCGCTGACCTTTGACCTCTTCCAAGTTGATATGCAGTAGATGATTTTGGTGTTCACAAGCAGCTTCGGTTGTCTGTTTCTGAATTGACTCGTCTTGCTGTTTTAGTGATGTTAAACACCACTTCAGTCTTCCTCTCAGGGCAGGTTCTGTTGCAAGGGTTGAACCACAGATATCTTGATCTATGGACAGGCAGATTTAAAAAAACTGGCTTCTGTAGAGGTTTTTTTTTTTTAGTCGGGTTGGGTTTCTGACCAACCACTTCTTGTATCTATTGGTCTGGAGCATTGATGTGTAAAGGATACACAGTGCAGTGTTTCCCCTAGGTTTACTGCTTTGGGGGGGTGCTGCCTGAGCGGGGGGGGGGGGTGGCATTAGGATATATATTTTTTTAAATCCTCTGGAGCAGAGAGAGGAGCTGTGGATTATTGTTATTGATTAATGCATCAGTGTTTCTTAGGGTCAAAAACACTAAACTCACAACTTAAAATGAAAGTGTTTAGTTTATTTAATAAAAGAGCACATGTTCAATGTGAAAAGTGACAGTAGATATAGATCAGTTGCAATTTGGTGCTATATATATATTTAAAAAAAGGGGGGGGGCTCGGTTGGCGGGGCGCAGCGCCCCTCCAAGACAATGGTAGGGGAAACACTGCAGTGGAGGCGACTCCATTTATTCCTTGCTTGGTGGCACATAAAGCCAAAATGGCCTGAGATGCTCCCTGGTTCTTCTGTCAATCTTGCACATCATTGGGCCGAAAGCATGCTCATTTGCTTTTTCCTAAAACCATGCCTCATAGCTGCGGCATCACAGCAGTGTCACGTCCGATTAGGCTCAATCAAATGAAGGGACAACTCTGGATTCATCTCATTGAAACTTTTATGACCTAATGAAATTGAAATAATGGTGTTGAGTAAGTATTTGTCCTGGGAAGTTGATTATCCTAAAGCTAAGAAATCGGCTGAGTTACAGACAAAATTACTAAGCAGTGAAATCATAAGCATTCAGTCAAGCAAGAACATGTCCTAGTGCAGCTTAAAAAATGGTCATTGTCTTGTTATATTCTCTACACACAGTCCATATCACACTCTCCAACACGTCTCATGCCACCACATGGACCAGTAGCAGTGGTGTACAGTCTTTCAGTATCACTAATAGCCTCTCTCAGTGGCACCACTATGTCTCTCAAACAAGCCCAGACTGCACAGAGAGAGATGCTGCACAGGCAGACAGACACAGTGGAAATCAATGGCGATTGTCAATGCACTTCAAGGTCACATCATCCTGGTTAAAAGGATAAAGATTTCTAAGGAAGCTTAAACTGTTACTTCAGATGCAAAAAATCTGTTGTGTTACTTTAGTTTTCTTCGAAGCAATGTGTCTGAAGAGGGCTCAAGTAAATCCACTGCAGATGTGTTACAGCTGTTTCTGTCAGATGTTGTCAGCATCAACACTTCTGCAAAGCAAAACCTGCTCTCCGTCTGTATCACTCAGGAGTTTAAATCAGCCACATTTATTCTCCAGCATCCATATACACGAGCACGTCACGGTCTCACTCCCTTTTTCCAGTGATATGTGTAGATGTTGAGCGTACAGTGACCTTGTTTGTTTTCTACTTTTCTAACAGGTATAAACACTTCCTACAGGACCTGACTGCCAACACAAGTCCAGACAACCCAGAGTTTCAGCAGCTTTCAAGTAGGTTTCTTTTTCTTCTGATCATGCTGCTGCCTTTGTGATACATTTTCTGTATTTCAAATGATCTGCAGATTCATGCTTCAAAGCTGCATTCACATGACAAACGGCTTCGTGCTGACATTGCCGTTGTGTTTCTATGGAGGGAGCTACTATTGACGTTCAAATTATTTCAACTTTGACCTGTTTTACCGCTGACATTTTGACAAGCAACCAATCAGATGACAGCTGTATGAAGTGCCGCAAGCTAGAAGCAAACGTAGCTATAGAAACAAAACTTTTCTTTTTTGTATTTACTTGCACTATTTTTTCAGTTTTTATTGTGTTGCACTGTTGGTGGAGCCTGTGTCCTAAGATTGTCATCGTCATGACTACACTGTAGCTATGTACGTATGACCATTAAAAGCCTTGAACCTTACCTGAAAACTTAAAGGGGCCATATTATGCTATTTGGGATTTCCCCTTTCCTGTAGTGTGTAATATAGGTTTGTGTGCATGTAAATGGTCTGCAAAGGCTAAAATCCCAAAGTTTCTCTACAACACACTCCCACCCTTCCTGACTCGCCTCCATCGGAGTCCTTTTTCTACCTCCGTAACATCGTGACATTCAAATTCAAAAGCTTTTATTGTCATTGTACAGAATACAACGAGATTTATAGTCTCTGCTCCAGCGAGTGCTTTAAAAACAGACATATTAAAACACAGATTAAAAGGTCTGACAGTTTCGACCAGCGAGTAGTGCACACAGCTTCGGATGGTCATGTAGATGACCAGGATTAATAAATTAAAATAAATAAATGAATAATATAGAATTATGATAAAATATATATGATAAATATTACAGTGTATACATGACATCACTGCGTAACACACGTTTCTTTTGGCTAGCACTCCAACACACTGTACATAATAGGCTGAGGGGCGGGACATCTCTAGGCTGTTGACAAACCGCAACAGAGATGCCAATCACAGCTGACTAGGCTCTGGTTTCAGACAGAGGGCGAAAAGAGGGTCTGCAATGAAGAGCTTTTTGAACATTAAAGCATGGAAACATGTCACAGTAGAGGCACAATCACGGGATGCAGTGAATGCACCTCAAGAGGGGAGCAAATAGACTCCTTGCTCACATGTGCACACAAGTGAAGATGCGGTTGATGTTGTTGTCACCTCTTCCTGTTGCAATCTGTCAGGATTGTTGGGGTTTGTTACCTAACAACAAGTGATGAGTGTGGGAAGATGTGTTTTGCATCACTAGCCACAAAGCCTTTTGGCTCACTCACAGTGCAATCTCTTCCTTCCTGTGACAAACAATTTGGAGTTAAGTAAAGCTGCACAATTATAGAATGTAAGGCCATTCCTCCAACAGCTGGAAAACAAACCCAACCTGCGGCGACTTTCATCTCAGCAGTCAGACTCCGTCACTGGGAGAGACAGCCCTCATTATCTTCATTTGAGGAACAAAGAAAAAGTGCTCTCTTTCCCTTTCATTCCTCACTTGTTGTTATTGTCACAGCAGCGCTTGGCTAGCAGAGGAATGAAAGCGAGGCAGAGCTCAATATGCGTGTAAGTTCTAGTTTTGATGTGGATTTTGACATAATTAATTGGGAGCGGATCAGAGGATATTAAGCGGGAGCTATATTAATAAATAAAATCTTCAGCATCAACACGGAGCCCGATAATGACTAATTTCAATCGTCAAATAAACAGCGAATCGGACTCAAGTGTGAATGTACACAAGGAATTATTTATGTGTATCAATTAAAATCTCATTGCTGGTGTGCTGCCTTTGCTTACAAATTAAAACAGCCCCTGACTCTAAGATGAAGGTACATATCTAAATGTGCTCCAACATCGCCTCTTCCTCTTCTCATTAGAGATCCTTTTTTAAACTCTGCTGAAAACTCGTGTGTGTGTGTGTGTGTGTGTGTGTGTGTGTGTGTGTGTGTGTGTGTGTGTGTGTGTGTGTGTGTGTGTGTGTGTGTGTGTGTGTGTGTGTGTGTGTGTGTGTGTGTGTGTGTGTGTGTGTGTGTGTGTGTGTGTGTGTGTGTGTGTGTGTGGTGTGGTGTGTGTGTGTGTGTGTGTGTGTGTGTGTGTGTGTGTGTGGTGTGTGTGTGTGTGTGTGTGTGTGTGTGTGTGTGTGTGTGTGTGTGTGTGTGTGTGTGTGTGTGTGTGTGTGTGTCTATACGTCCTATACTCAGCCCGGTTGTATTGTAAAGGGAATTATTTAAAAAAAGAAATTCCCGACAAATCACATTGTATATGATTAAGCAAACTAGCAGATAGAATCACAAGAGGCTTTGTTGTTGTTGTTGTTTTCTATTGTTGTGCTGCTCTGTGTCAGTTTGCTCTTCCTCTTTGTTTCCTTTTTTTTCTTCGGTGCATTCAGGCTGGATTTAATTGTTGTAATTGCATTGCTTCAGGAGTTTTTCATCAGCCTCGCTTTAATACTCTCCCCCACGACCTGATGCAAACTCTCTTTAACAATAAAAGTTAACCGTCCTCCTGCAGTGGTCAAACAGTGTCTAAATAGTGAATAAAGCGCCGTAAGAAGGAGACTTCAGAATGTCTAATGCGCCAGATGTATTATTAATGCCTCGGCCAGAACTCAGCCCAAGAATGCTGTAATTAGGAGTTGTTGTTTTTCTAAAGCAGGCAATGGAAAGTATTCCAAACACGTACAACAAAGGGGAAAAAGTCTACACGGATGCCTTGTTTGGTTTACATTGTAATTGTTGTGAAGTTAAGCGAGCCAATTAGGCCGTGATTATTTTAGTGTAGACAAGTCACCCTGAGGATCGAGTTCATCCGCTGAGTTTCATTGCTCGGAAACAAAAGGAGGAAAAGTTGAGCCTGAAATTAGAATCCATCTGTTTGTTGTTATTTTGGACGCGTTAATGATGTAGTTCTAAATGTTTACAGCCATTATTATGGCTGGCACACAGCAATTAGATGCGTCTGTCTATTCTGCTGATTTGCTTATTTGTTCTGGTTAGATTTTAAAGCTTTGTGCAAAAAGAAGTTTGAGACTGTAGACTCTTATTCCATTAACAGTTGTATTAACATTAAGAAAAAAGTCAGTATTGAAAACCAGGAGGAAGCTAAGTACATTAAACCAAGGTGCATTGGCTTTTGTTCAATGTTGAACAAAATGTGGTTTGTGGAAACATGCTCTGAGCAATGTTGTACAGGAGTGGGAATGGTTCGATGTTGTGGTAAACACTTTGTAGGAAATAGGTTTATTCAACCAAATGTGCTGTGCTACTGTGGGGCTGCTTGTTGTTTGCCAACAATTACATTTTGACAGCTCAGCTGATTTGCGAAGAAGCAATGGATTATGGGCTACAAGGGCCGCTGTGGTGGAGACCAGCATCCCTCTTAATGAATATGACCAAGGTTAGGCGTCCCCTATGCACACATTCAAACACAGTGCATAACCCCGCCGGAGCCCCTCGGCACCATGAGGCCCAATCAGCACTGTTTGAATGTTTTAATATGCACAGCTACATTCTCTTTAATTTCTTGCAGATGAAATCAAACTCAAACAGGCTGCCATGCTGAAAGAGTCCCTACAACAAAGATTTCAACTGGTTGACTGTGTCTGTAGCATTTAGTGGGAGGCTTTATACTTTGGTGTATTGACATGTATTTCTTAGTAAATGAAAGAGGACATATTATGCTCATTTTAAGGTTCATATTTGTATGTTCTGCCTCTGACTTCTCAACATGCTCTAATGTTCAACAAGCTCTTTATTTGTCTCATACTGCCTGTGCTGCAGCACCTCTTCTCACCCTCTGTCTGAAACCAGAGCCCAGTCTGCTCTGATTGGTTAGCTGGCCGGCTCTGTTGGGATTGGTCAACTGCTAAGAGTCCCGCCCCTTAGCCTATCACGTACAATGTGTAGGGCAAGTGTTAAAAAGTGATGTCACTATGTTACAGAAGTAAACAAAGAAGTCCAATTGAGGCAGGGGGGGAGAGTGTCAGAGAGAAACCCCCTCTGGGGTGAAGTTTGGGATTTTGGCCTTTGCTGACCATTTACATGCACTAAAAACCTTTGTAACACATTTCAGAGAAGGTAAAACACAAAAAGCTGAATAATGCCCCTTTAAGTAAATGTAGGACTCAAATTACTATATATTTTGTAAGATAAAAGCCAGTATCCAAACAATGGCTGGCCAGCGTGAATAAATGGTGGTAGTTTTTTTCTTGGGGGAGACATACATCTTTCTTCAAACCAGTTTTTTTTCTTGCCGTATGAAAAACTATTGTGATACACTTAGTTTTCCAGAAAATGTATTTCAATAGTTTAAATGTAAGCAGACAGGAATATCTGTATTTGGAGAGAGATATTATATTCTTACTCTCAGATGAATGTCCAACCACTTGTATGGTAATAGAAGTGTTTGTGCTTCCTCTAGGTGCTGTGACTGCGATATGCGACGTGTCCTACCGCATCCAGGACAACACCCGGCACCATGAGAACCACCTGCAGCTCTGCCGGGTGCAGAAGCTGCTGAAGGGGCGAAAGACCAAGGTGTTGGCTGCAGGTTAGAGCCTCTGATCACATATTCCTTTCATCCCCCAACACCTCCATCTCCCCTCCTTCTGCATCTATTGCTCTATGTCCTTTGGGACTCACAGGGGTGGATGGGGAAGGGAGAAATCAACTAAAGGGAAATTAGCTAAGTATTGAGACATTGTGTTTAATCAATTGATTTAATCTGACTTCCTGCAGGAAACTAAAGTATGTAGCGCATCCCGCCACTTTATTAAAAGCGCATTACTGCTAACTGTAAGCGAGTAAATGTGCTTTCCTCCTTCATCCTGCCTACTTCCCTACTCATTTATATCCCCCCTCATTGTGGTTCCCTCTCTACTTGTGGAGCGGTGGCCCTTCTTCTTCCTGCCACTCCCCCTCCCGTTGTTTGTCTGGCCTCCGCGTTGCTCCGCTCGCCCTGCCAATCTCCCCTAGGACCAATTAGAGCCCAGCCTCATCTTGCCGACCAGCACATAAAAAGGAAGTGTGTGTGTGTGTGTGTGTGTGTGTGTGTGTGTGTGTGTGTGTGTGTGTGTGTGTGTGTGTGTGTGTGTGTGTGTGTGTGTGTGTGTGTGTGTGTGTGTGTGTGTGTGTGTGTGTGTGTGTGTGTGTGTGTGTGTGTGTGTGTGTGTGTGTGTGTGTGTGTGTGTGTGTGTGTGTGTGTGTGTGTGTGTGTGTGTGTGTGTGTGTGTGTGTGTGTGTGTGTGTGTGTGTGTGTGTGTGTGTGTGTGTGTGTGTGTGTGTGTGTGTGTGTGTGTGTGTGTGTGTGTGTGTGTGTGTGTGTGTGTGTGTGTGTGTGTGTGTGCGTTTTCTTACTTGGATATGCAAGGTTTTTGTTTTTTTCAAAGTGTGTACTTCCGGACGTGCCGGCTGGGAGCGAGCGCTGAATAGCAGCTCATCTCTCTAATGCCGATATGGGAAGTTTCAAAAGCTTCCTCTCATCTAAGTTCTCAGGCCCGTCGCAACTCCGCCGTCTTCCTTTCCAGCTAATAAAGCTCCGGTCCCACCAGGCAGACTTCAGAGCAGCACCACCCCGCCCCACACCGACCCATTCTCCTTCCTCCCCCACCAACACCACCTCTAATGTGGGTAAAAGAAAAAGCGCTCTGCCTTTTACAGATGAGAAGCGCCGGAGCCCCTCAAACATATTAAGTAGCTCTATAGGAGATGAGGGGGGGGGGCGATTGTGAGACACAAAGCCTGAATCAATGGGACATCGATACAGCAGACAGTCAGCCTGTTTCCCTGGGAGGCCGCAGATTTGTGTCTGCCTGCCTGTTCCTTCAATTTAAAACAAAGACGTCTCACATTTTCTATCTTGTTGTACATGGATTTTTTCCCCGATTTGTCTCTTTACGTTCCTGACTGTTCGACCTAAAGTTATGATATTTTATGTCCTGATTTCTATGATCATCATTGTTATATTATATATTATATCTAAATCACAATTTGAACTAGTGTTGTATCCAAATAAAGTAAGCGCAATATTTGTTAAAGGCAAAATGTGAGATGTGTGTCAGAGCTGCGGTGAAGTCCCGACCTACAATCTGTATTCTACAGACTTATTAATAAATCCTTTTTTGATACAGATCATTTAAAAACATTTAAATTATGAATAAGATTTCAAAAATGATCATTCCCTGTAATAAAGGAAATCATATCTGAATTGCAATATACTTCAAAAACTGCACAAATTCAATTTAAATGTTAAACTTTTGAACATTGGTGAGTCAGTTTCAGCTTTTATCAATTCATACAAAAAAGATGGAACTAATATACAGTTTGGTCATTCATCAAGCGAAAAAAGCAAACACTCTTTGGCAAGAACATTTTATAATACTGCTTCCTGTTCAACTGACTGCAAATGCAATATAATGTCAGGCTGATATTTCTTAAGTAGTTTCTTAATGTGGGTACAAGTTTAATAAATAGGAACGTGTGAAGGCAAGGCAACATATACATTTAGCTAAATTCAGTTTGGGTTGTATATGGCCTTTGTCTCAATGCTAAGTTAGGTCATTTTAACACCCTTACAATAGATGGTTTGATAGAAAATGAAAATAATAATTTGTTGCTGCTTTTGTCTGATTCTCTACTCATGAGTTCCCTGTTCATTTGAATCATCAATACCCTAAAAAGTCTCATTTCCACTGCACCTCGTCCCTGCCTCCAGTATAGTGCAGTCACCAACAAAGTGAAAGAAGCCTGTTGACTCCAAACTCAGCGATGCCCAACCTGACCCTCATTCTGCCGCAGCGCTTGCCTCTGTTCATCCTCTGGCCTCGGACACATCAGGGGGAATAGCACCCTTTGTAGATCTTTTTTTGTATTTCCTGCCCCCGCACCTGGGCCAGCCCCAAAGTCTTTGTAGTAAAGCAGAGGTGCTCTTTGACAAGGGAAGCTGAAAGGCCTGGACATACAGAGGAGTGTTGGCACTTCCTGCTCTTTGAACCTGCTGCAGCCTCAAAGCTCTGCGGATGGTCAGCTGTGAGCAGGGGGTCTGAAGAGAACCTGGTCCACCAAAGAGCATTTCCAACATGACTGTCAACTTCGTCTCTTAGGGGGTCTGATAGGGAATATCTGATACGACTTTAAAGGTTAGGGAACAGATTGTGCTGAATTTGGTTTGTATTCATTTGTTAAAAACAAGCCAGTAAGTTTGTTCATTCATCTTTTCTTCTGTTGTTTCTACACTTGGTTATTGTTTATATTGTTTCTCCTATAGTACAAAACTCACCCCCTAAACCGAAAACACATGACTGGCTATCTAGGTGAAAACTTTAAGAACTTGTTTCCTAGTCGGATATAGTTTTAAAAGTAATAGTCGCAGAGGGAATTAAATGTGGTGTTCTGCTATCACAGAATGATGCTATGTATGTTACTCTACCTGCTCTATAAAACACTTTAAAACACAAACACATAAATTGTACTCTCTATCTAACTTAGAAACAGTGAACACATCTAACCCGTCCTGCACTTTTGCTTTTTGAACCACACAAACATTAACTGGGGAAAAGTACAATGTTAATTAGCTTCTCAGATGTAGAATGGCATACAATGGAGTCCTTTTCCAGGCACCTGCAATCTTAAAGCATTGTATTCAATTAAAGGGGCCCTATTCTGTTCATTGTTAGGTTCATTTTTGCTTTTGCAGACCATTCACAAAAAACTATATAAAACACTACAAGAAAGGGAAAACCCCCGAAAAGCACAATAGGGCCCATTTGTATGCAGTAACATGGCCAGAACACATATTTGTTACATGGGCATCTCCAGTAACAGGTCAGTTAGGGTGCAAAGGATCTGTTTCATGAGGACACTTCTTACTACAGTTGTCTTTTATCCAGTGGTGGTTCTTTTAAGACACATTTAAATCCCTACTTCCCTACATGTTTCTTGAAAGGCTTGTATAAATCTCAAGCAGGATTTTAGTTATACAATTAATATAACGATCACAACCACTTCTCCAATCTCCGCTCAACACCTGAGAGAGTCATGGCGTGTTTCTTGACTGTTCCGTTTGAGACCCATGGCATTTTAAAAGCAATTTGACCCCCGTCTGGCCCCGGCACTTAATCTCAGTGGGCTCGTCTGTAGCTGAAAATGTCCTCTCTGAGCCCCAGAGGCATAGCTCCGACCACTCAGGCTAGCTGCAATCACAGGCTACTGGCTGGGGCAATTACAAAAACACCTTGGACCCAGGCTGAATTTCCATCTTATCTATCCAAATGTCAGCCTCTTACTTATTAGCTATCATCATTCTGCTGCCAATCATGGTGAGAGAGATGAGAGCCTTCCTCGCAAACCACACCCCAACATGTCTACCTACTACTTAGTACTCCCTAGATCAGTGGTTCCCAACCTGGGGGGCGCCAAAGATCGCAGGGGGGGCGCCAGGCCTCAGATGATTTGAGGCCAAATATCATATTTAGACTTTTTTCTTTTTCTTTTTTCACTTTTTTTTTTTTTTACATATAATTGTAAGGCAATACATGATTGTCACTAAAAGCCTTGTCTCTACATTACAATAACATATAAAAAATAATTGACTAATTAATTTTAATGAAAATTCAAGTTAGTATTAAAGGCATAAAAAGACAGAAATGTATAATTCTTTCTTTAATATAAATGTTTCTTCTGCCCATAAAGTGTCCAAACCAGGCTTTTCTGGATCAGCGCATTTTTAAAACATAGTCATTGTCCATGCCGGTTTCAGTTGGATTATTCGTCACAGTTGCTCCAATCAGATCGGTCTCCTCCATTTTGTAGATTATTTACGACTTTTGAATCCACATAAACACATCGGCAAAATCCGGCTTACTTTGAGCATGTGTTTTAAACAGTTTAATCCCTTTGTGAATTGTTTCCACTTGCGCCGTCCTTTAATTTCTTCAAACAGCGGGAATCCAAATAAATTAATCCTGAGTCCAATAACCATCAAAGTCACTCCAATAGTGCTCCTTAATTACGCTTTCATCCTCCTTTAACAAAATACTTCACAATCATCCAGTTTGTGACAGCAGTTGTAGCATTTATGAGACTTTTAAACTTTAATTACTGCTGTTGCGCCCCCCCCCCCTTGTGTGTGTGTGGGGGGGGGGGCAAAACTTCCAACAGGAGTCATTTGGGGGGGGTCAATCTTATTACTATCAAAATAAAAGTGCAAAACGAAAACTTTACCATAGGAAAATATTGGCATACAAATATAATCACTTCTCTAAACGGTAACTCATTTTAAATATAGTTTATTTATATATAATAATAATAAAAATATTAATATTAGTTATAAGCTTTATATTTGTATAGCACCTATTACAAGAATTGTAGCCAAACTCGCTTCACAGCAGTTCAATAGACAGATTAGTATAACATGACAGGATAAAAGCAATGTAGAGGAGCAGCTACATTTCAACACATATATCCACGAAGATTAATACATGAAGACTTGTGACTCTGACTTGACTTGGACTCTTCTTAGGTGACTTGGACTCTGACTTGAACACAGGTAATGATGACTCGGACTCAACTCGGACTCTCCTTGGGTGACTCAGACTTGGACTAGGACTCGAACACAGGTAATGATGACTCGGACTCGACTCGGACACTCCTTGGGTGACTTGGACTCGGACTCGACTACGACTCTCCCTTGGTGACTCGGACTTGGACTCGAAGAGTGGTGACTCGAGAGTGACTTGGACTCGTGAATGGGTGACTTAACTACAACACTGGCTTGTTACAACTTTAATTTGCCGTACTCTCCATAAACTGTTATTGCTCAGGTTGATCCTGCCCCCACCTCCGACGTAAGCGTGACATATGCGGTTCTTGCTTCTAGACCGACAATTTTTTGGTGCACCGGGTTTCGGAGCTTGGAGGCGGCTCCGCTGCGGTGTGAACAGGAAAAACCTGTGCTTTTCAGACTCTAGCTCCAAACTGGCTCTGGAACCGCGTTGGTGTGAACGGGGCATCAGAGGGGCGTGGGGAGTGGCTCCTTATTTTCATCTAAAGTAACAGACACAGAATCAGCACTTTTGAAACAGGGCTGAAACAGAGGGGATTATGGGATGCTACAATGCATGATCTGTTTAGTATTTGGAGCCAAACATTTCAGAGACATGTTTTGTATATATCTGAGACCTATAATATATTGATGAAAAACTGTATAATAAGGGACCTTTAAGAAGCATTGGTTGGCTATTTGTAGGGTTCTATAGCATTTTACATTCTGAACCCAACTCCAACCCAAAGCATTATTGGTCCTTCATTTTTTTTTGACCTAATCAGATATAACAGAAAATAATTTGTATTTAGGAGGGACACATATTTTATGGTATTGAATTGTAATAGCTTTAACAAACTACTCAATACACACCATATAAGAGAATTGGAACTGAAACATCTATATACTTAATACAATGTCGTTTTGTGGTAGAAACCATATTGTGTGTGTGTGGATATACAGCTGTAGTCTGCAGTGTGTGAGAGGTGGAGAGCAGGGATTAACTTGTGACAACAGGCTTCAATGAATGGGTCAAATGTCGCTTTTCAGCTTGTTCACTGGAGCTTGTCGTACAAGGGTTTCCTATATGACAGTGGCAAAGAATGACTATTGTAACATAATGCCCTTTGCACTCTACAAAAGGCAGCGGGGTTTCAGCCTTGAGAATAGGATTGTGCTGCACCATTGATACCTCTAATACCGTTTGTGTAAAAGAAGTACTACACTGAACAAAAATATAAATGCAACACTTTTGTTTTTGCTCCCATTTTTCATGAGATGAACTCAAAGATCTAAAACATTTTCTATATACACAAAATAACCATTTCTCTCAAATATTGTTCACAAATCTGATAAAATCTGTGATAGTGAGCACTTCTCCTTTGCCGAGATAATCCATCCCACCTCACAGGTGTGGCATATCAAGATGCTGATTAGACAGCATGATTATTGCACAGGTGTGCCTTAGGCTGGCCACAATAAAAGGCCACTCTAAAATGTTCAGTTTTATCACACAGCACAATGCCACAGATGTCGCAAGTTTTGAGGGAGCGTGCAATTGGCATGCTGACAGCATGAATGTCCACCAGAGCTGTTGCCCGTGAATTGAATGTTCATTTCTCTACCATAAGCCGTCTCCAAAGGCGTTTCAGAGAATTTGGCAGTACATCCAACCGGCCTCACAACCGCAGACCACGTGTAACCACACCAGCCCAGGACCTCCACATCCAGCATGTTCACCTCCAAGATCGTCTGAGACCAGCCACTCGGACAGCTGCTGCAACAATCGGTTTGCATAACCAAAGAATTTCTGCACAAACTGTCAGAAACCGTCTCAGGGAAGCTCATCTGCATGCTCGTCGTCCTCATCGGGGTCTCGACCTGACTCGTAACCGACTTGAGTGGGCAAATGCTCACATTCGATGGCGTCTGGCACGTTGGAGAGGTGTTCTCTTCACGGATGAATCCCGGTTTTCACTGTTCAGGGCAGATGGCAGACAGCGTGTTTGGCGTCGTGTGGGTGAGCGGTTTTCTGATGTCAATGTTGTGAATCGAGTGGCCCATGGTGGTGGTGGGGTTATGGTATGGGCAGGCGTATTTTATGGACGACGAACACAGGTGCATTTTATTGATGGCATTGTGAATGCACAGAGATACCGTGACGAGATCCTGAGGCCCATTGTTGTGCCATTCATCCACGACCATCACCTCATGTTGCAGCATGATAATGCACGGCCCCATGTTGCAAGGATCTGTACACAATTCCTGGAGGCTGAAAACATCCCAGTTCTTGCATGGCCAGCATACTCACCGGACATGTCACCCATTGAGCATGTTTGGGATGCTCTGGATCGGCGTATACGACAGCGTGTTCCAGTTCCTGCCAATATCCAGCAACTTCACACAGCCATTGAAGAGGAGTGGACCAACCTGATTCCACAGGCCACAATCAACAACCTGATCAACTCTATGCGAAGGAGATGTGTTGCACTGCGTGAGGCAAATGGTGGTCACGCCAGATACTGACTGGTTTTCGGACCCCCCCAGACCCCCCCAATAAAGCAAAACTGCACGTTTCAGAGTGGCCTTTTATTGTGGCCAGCCTAAGGCACACCTGTGCAATAATCATGCTGTCTAATCAGCATCTTGATATGCCACACCTGTGAGGTGGGATGGATTATCTCGGCAAAGGAGAAGTGCTCACTATCACCGATTTTTTCAGATTTGTGAACAATATTTGAGAGAAATGGTTATTTTGTGTATATAGAAAATGTTTTAGATCTTTGAGTTCATCTCATGAAAAATGGGAGCAAAAACAAAAGTGTTGCGTTTATATTTTTGTTCAGTGTAGTTCAGTTCCAATGCATGTCTGCTCTAGTAATGCTATGAAACACTTAGTAATGTCAAATGACAAAACAACCAATGGTCTCAAACTAACATACAAACGTTGTTAAAAGGGACAATCTTGAATTAGTGTTTTTGTACGGTATATGGATAAGTTGGATGGATAGCATTGTTGATATTGACGATGAATAGATGGATGGACATAGAAGTTGTTGGATGCTTGGTAGATATACGACTGGCAATGGATTTCTACACAACGTTATGATTGGCAAAACAAAAACAATTGTGCTAAGGTAAAAGAAAAATGAAGGGATTGACTAAATGTAAAACAAGCCAACATATTCAACAATTTTCCCTTGCTTTTTTAATGTTTCTTGCTTGCACTATCTACTAAGGAAGTGTAGTAAGAAGGAAGTTAGCAAGGCAACAACAGCTTCCGTGATTGGTTTGACACAGTGAATCCTAACCCTAGAAGGTGGTTTGGAAACTCTTAGGCCAATGGACATAAACCACAGTGTCTCAGACTCTTTCCGTTTCCTCCTCTCTCACAGGGAGGTGGTTCATCCGTGAGGGCTGGCTGAAGGTGGTTCCTCGGAAAGGTGCGGTCGCCAAGCCCAAGATGTTCTTCCTGTTCTCCGACATGCTGCTGCAGGCCACGCGCTGCGGCCCGATGCAACTCGCCAACAGGGACAAGTTCGCCGGCAGGCACGCCTTCCCCCTGCAGGAGTGCATCATGGAGAAGGTGTTCGGCCACACCAGAAGCCAGGGAGGCCTGCTCAGCGTGAGTATTCATGTTTCCAGACATATCAGGGAGTTTCTAAAGCAGGGGTCGGCAACAGGCGGACCGCGGTCCGGATCCGGACCCAGACGCCGACCTATACGGACCCGGAGCTATAATCAATACATTAATAGGGGATTTTTCGGCGCCTCCCGCTTTTTTAACGCTGATTTGGGTGACTTGTGTAATTCATGGAGAACCGAATAGTTTTAGGGGTGGGGGGGGGGGGGAGTCCGTCCGTCAGTCCGACTGGCGGACAACTTCTCACTTAAAAAAAGAAGAAGAAATCTAGACCGCAAAAATAATTAAACAAGCGAGTACCTGTTTTTCCTGGCCAAGGACAGGTTCCTTGAACACAACACGAGCGTAACGTGTCTTCACATGGTATATGTCTCGTCTGAAAGGAGTGCTGACAGAGAGCACCGGAACGCCGCTCCAGCTCTTCAAATATTGCAGTACCCATAAGGAGCCGTACACATGCCGCAGTGTTTGCGTGGCTGTGTCTTTAGTTGTAAGCACAGTGGCGATCTGTTGTTATTAGCATCTGGTTAGCTAGCTATGCTAACGAATTTAAAGAGCTTTTCTACAACCAGGTGGAAGAGAGCTCTCTCCTGAAAGGCTCACATAACCTCAGCTCAGTGAGGTTAAGGCACACCTTGATATGATCATTATAGTTATTAATGAGACTAAATGAACAACAGGTATAAAATACTATATGACAGTATCAAAAAAGTTGTTAAAAATAACAAGAATAGAGTTTAAAAGGGGAGTGATTAGTAAAATATCCAAAAAGAAGAATCTGCTTACAGTTCTGTTTCATATGGGTGTTGAGATGTATCCATAGATGTCCTAATGTTGCTCTCAAAGTGCACCAGATTGATGCTTTTAACTTCAATATTTTAAAAAAAATCTTCCCGGGGGAGCATGCCCCCGGACCCCCTCTAGAGGAGGTTAGGTCCCCCCCCCACTTAAATCATGTTCACATGGATAGGATACTAAATACATTTGCACACATCTTGTGTCCATATCTTTCTGTTTTGGTGGTCATGCCACACCGTGCACATGCATGCGCGAGTCATGGTGAGATATCTGGATTCAGAGGTTGCTTTTTCTTTGCACAGCATGAAAGAAAGGTGAAATGAATGGGCTGTGATTTTAGTTTTTTTAAGCAGAGGTTGAGCTCAATCATTTGTACGACCCACGGAGGATGTTGTAAAAATTGAAAGGAAAAAAGGTTCCCCACCCCTGCTGTAAATAATAAAAACCCTTGTTTTTTAACTTAACATCTCTGTCTCCTATTGATCTGAGTATAAATAATAGCCAGTTAATTGAAGCATTATAGCACAGGCCTTTGTCAGATGGTATATTACGCTGTTTTTTTTCTGCTTCGAATAGTTCTCTCTTTTTTCACCGTGTTTGCATCACTGAAACCAATGAGCACCTGCATGTGTATGAGAATGGCCCTGACACCATTTCAGCCCAGATTTACAAACTCCTGGCAGGACAAGCTCCAGCTCAATTCTCACACTGAATTTAAAAAAAGTGAGTGAGGGACTGCAATATAAGAGGGAAAGAAAGAGAAACTTTAAAACTGTTAAATTGTTATGATGTGTAAAGACTGATATGTTCTATAATCGTCTGAAACTGTTAAGTCATGATGTGAAACGGTTAACAAAGAAAAACTCAAGCTGCTGCTACACTTTATTTTATTTATCTAAAATTAAGCACTTTAAGATGCACATATTTTCAAAAGCTATTTTATTTATTTTCTCTATTTTATTTTTAAATGCAGCCCGAGAGGAACATTACACATATCCACAGTATTTAAGTAATGTTAATTGACAATAAATAGTTGTTTTTGAATTGTACTTTCTTTATTTGATTGGCAGTCAGTTGTTGATTACATGCAGACGTTGATAAAGCTACAGGTCACTTCAATATATATCACACTAATTCATGAAGCAAGTTAGACATTTTGATGTTGGGGAGATTTTCTCTAACTGGACCTCGTTGAATTTGAGTTGAAGACCGCTGTTCTAGAGCATTGTAGCAGATTTTGTTGAGACTGAAGAACCTAAAACTGAACAAAACAGGAAGGAATTTCTAACTTAAAGGTCCCCTATTATACTGTTTTTAATCAATATATTATAGGTCTCAGATATATACAAAACATGTCTCTGAAGTGTTTGGCTCTAAATACCAAACGGATCATTGTAGCATCCCATAATCCCCTCTGTTTCAGCCCTGTTTCAAAAGTGCTGATTCTCTGTCTTTTACTTTAGATGAAAATAAGGAGCCACCCCCCACGCCCCTCTGAGAGAGATTTGGTTAGAAAGAACACAATGGTGCTCTAGGAGTAGATTCAGGTGATAAGGTGTGTGGGGGGGGGGGGGGGTTATTCGCTAATAACACAAGCCAAAAAATCGTTAAGTCTCCAAACAATAAAGACTATCCAATAAAAAAGAAAATCAGTAGTTAAATCTACAAGGATATGTTAGTGCTGTTAGTTCATCAGGTATTTCCCATTTTACTCAAAATGCATGTTTTATTTAGATTCAGATTACCATGCCACAGTTACAAAGTCATTGGCTATCACTGAGCCTTTTGTACAATATATATCCCAAAGTTCTTTGTGCAGATCCTACTCTTCGAATGTTTCCCGCACTAAGACCATTAACAATAGGTGGCGCAGGATTTTGGATAACATAAAAAAACATGTAAACATAAAAGTGTTGAAAAGTTGAATATTCTCAGAGTGAGTGTTGGGCAACAGGTGGGAAGACATCTGTTCATTGATATGAATATACACATGAGTGAGTCCTTAACAGAAGCATTATTTAATTTCCACTTGTGATGCTCTGATTTGTCTTAGTTATGGCCATGACAGTAGCTGTTCTACAATCTGCCAAACAGGGGAGTGTTTTCCAGCCTTATTGAATACAAATGTCATTTAGTTGTGCATGTCAGAGAAGACTTGTGTTCCCTCGCCTCCTCTTCTTCCTAATCACCTCAAACGGTTGTTGTTAAAGTATCCCAGAAGCTGAACTTTTAAGGCGCCTCTCCTCTCAGTCTGATCAGCGTACCAGGTCTCAGTACAGCTGCCGGCTGACAAATTGTGTCTAAATGATGTAGTTGCTGTCATGAAACATTCAAAGGAAGGAGTCACGCGTCATTGAGTGAGTAACGAAAGCGTTTATGCAGTCGAGTGTTTAGTGCCAATGCTGCGTGGTATCAATATTCATTTCGGCAGATACACTCTCCCTCAAAGAGCTCTTTATGTTGTGCTGCTAATGTGTTTTACTGTGATGCACAGTGGCTATGCAGAGGTTTCATTACTCTACTGTCTGTTCACACTGCTGTCTGCCCAAAATAATGGCAGCATGTTGATGCTTTTTGACATTAAAGCTTGATTCACATAACACAAGTAGTATACAGTAGGTCTGAAATGACCTAATAAATCATCCAATAGCTGATATTTTTTCATGTATTAAGCAAGAAGACATGGACATTAGGGATACCAAATAATGAATTGTAGCACATTAAAGAACCTGTGACAAGAAAATGTTTCATATTTTTAACATTGTATGGTTGTTTAAGCTGTTTGTCAGTCATTTCAAATATGACTGCACTAAATGATTATGTCCTTATTAATAACTTCAATAACTTGAAAATCATTAAGTCTATCAAATGTCAAAAATGGAAAATATCCATCCAACCTCAGCTGACATCTACACCATTTTGTGTTTTGTCTAATCTACATTTATTCAGTTTAAAACTGAGAAAAGCTGCAAATCCTCACGTTTGAGATAAGACTAGATATTTGACAAATTAGCTTGACAACTGTATTAATTAACAAATTAAACCCCATTAATTTTCTGGCAATCATCCAAATAATTAATGAAATACAGATGTGATAAGTTGTGAATCTAAGTGTTTTTAAAATAATAATAATTAGATAACGTCAACAAACTATTGTTACATCCATAAATAGTTTTTTGGCACTGGTTCTCGATCCCTTAAGAATAGATGGCATCACAATTCACCTTCTGTATTTCACTTAATAGGGAGATAAAATGTACAATAATTTGAGAAATATGTCCAAAAGAAAATCTAAATGTATTTAACACAAGACCCCAACATTATTTTACTGTAAATACTGTCTGGAAACAGGCAGTAGTAACATTTAAGTGTAATTAATTTCAGGTGTGAACGATTATTTATTGATTAATCAGTTTTAATCGTACGACCATCATGAACCGTTCTGTGTATAAAACATAACATGACAAATATTTATTTTCAAACCAACAGTTTAATGTCTTCATTCACATTTTGCCTAGGTTTATGCAAGCATTACATTTTGGATTGATAAGTTATTTTATTTTTTCATTCTTGATTGACTAATCACTTAATCAACACATAGTTTAAGCTCTTGATAAAATACAGTTTTAACATCTGATCAGACATTAAAGGCCAGTTCCTGATGATTGACAGCGTTCAGCTCTGAGCTAGTTAGCGCCACTTTAGCCGGTTTACCTGCCAGGTCAATCAATCGTTGGGACCGACAACCATACAGTAAGGTAAGGCTAATTATATTTATATAGCACATCTCCACCACGAGGCAATTCAAACACATTAAGATAAGCAAAAGAAACACATTATAACATTTGATTCAAAAAGATTCAAAACAAAAACAAGCTAATAAGGAATAACACAGGTATTAAATCCTAGAATAAAGCCGAATGTAAGATATTAAGAGTTTATTTCATTAAACGAAACAGCGAAAAAGGCCTTGATTTAAAATGTGTTTAAGTACAGAATTGATTTGATAATGTGTTGCATAAAACACACATGAGAGGGTGAATTCCAGTTATCCCCATAAGAGTATCCATCCAGCTTGTGTGACTTCATTTGTTGAAGGCAGTGTGAATTAAAAGCATCCTTTAAGGGACTAATGAAATGGCTGCAGATGGGGGAGATTAGTCAGAGCTGTATTATTTGGTGTGTGTGTGTGTGTGTGTGTGTGTGTGTGTGTGTGTGTGTGTGTGTGTGTGTGTGTGTGTGTGTGTGTGTGTGTGTGTGTGTGTGTGTGTGTGTGTGTGTGTGTGTGTGTGTGTGTGTGTGTGTGTGTGTGTGTGTGTGTGTGTGTGTGTGTGTGTGTGTGTGTGTGTGTGTGTGTGTGTGTGTGTGTGTGTGTGTGTGTGTGTGTGTGTGTGTGTGTGTGTGTGTGTGTGTGTGTGTGTGTGTGTGTGTGTGTGTGGCGATGGCTGCCTGCCTGCTGTAACAGAATCTCTCAGTTGCTGGATCAGATTAGGCTGCAGATCCATCTCTTCCGGCCCTCCAGTAAATACATCTTCCTCAAGCCTGTCGCCGCTCTCCGCTACACGTTATCTAATGGCTGAAATGGCATTTCATTAGCCCCTTATCCCACCGAGGCCCAAATGCATACTCAATAGCATTACACGTAATTTCTCATAAGGACACATTATTGATCCCGGGCCCCTACCTGAGCTCAAAGAAAAGGGCTGTCAGCACTCCAGGGCCCTCCTCAACCAGGGCCATGAAGAATTAAAGCCAAATTAAATTTGATAGCTGTAAATGCCATGGCAATCTATATGCAAAGTTTGGGTGGAAAGAAACAGCTTTTATTAAAATGTCCAGTGTTTTTTTTTGTATTTCTCTTGGTCACACATTGTTTGTAGAGAGCTACCTTTTTATTTGTCTCGCCCCACGTTTCCCTCTTTACGTTCTCCTCTCCCTCCATCTGTCGACCTTCCTCCTCTTCCTCGCCTCTCTCCCCGTCTGCCGTCTTCCTCCCGCTAATATCCCCTTGCCGCTTGAATATTTTTCCCACATCCCTGACAGATTCTCTTTGATGTATAAATAATCAAGCTAAATTATGTGCGCCGATGAGGCTCCGCCGTTCTTATTATACAAAGTAATTTCTACCTAACAGGGTCACATTTCCTGACAAATCCCTAATTACTGCATCGCAATAGAAGTGGAATCTATTTGTGCATAAATCAAACCGCAGTCCCCCCAAGTGGCGAGTGTCTAATGTCATGCGGCACTCATTTCGGTCCCATTCACTGAACTCTGTAATTAGATAATACTTTTGATGATATTACATTTGAAATCTTAATCTATTTAATGTATAATGAGAGGCTCCCCTCCCTGTATAGAAATCATCATTATGTTTGATGGTCTATACCGAGTTCTGTCCAAATACAAACGCATATGATCGATATGTCACTTCTCAACAAGCTAGCTTCCAGTCTACAGGCGGCAGCTGCAGGTAAATGTGAAAGGTCATTTAATATGGTGAAGGCCTGATTTTGATCCCATGTATTTAATAGCTTTCCCAGTGTAATTACGCGTGGCTAAAAGCCCCTTTTGTCTGGTCTTCAGACAACTCCTTTTGGTTTGTTTGACTTGTACAATCTGAGGCAAGTTGGTAATTACTGTTGACTCAAAGGAAGAAGACCCTGTCTCTCTGTAAACCTGAGAATATGTCTCTGTCCAGCTACCTGCAGGACACAATGGAGTAGACATTATAAATGTGGCAGATTCTGTTACTGTACTAGACTTTGTCCCTTTTTTCTGTACCATACCTACAGACGTCAGTGTTTAAAGGTGATTAAAGCTTGTGAAAAGCAGCACTTGGTTGGCAGGGAGAAGGTTTTTGCTTGATTTGTTCTGCCCTCTTCTGTTTTCACTATGTTACTGCAGTTTTAAGCACTCCTGTAGAGAGGCCTTGGATGACTTGGAGATGGTGTTTCTACTAAAATACAACAACCAAAAGCTGACATTACACTGTATCCGAACACCCACCATGAAACCATAACACCTCATCATTCACACCTGCCAACAAACATCCTAACTACCCTCCTGTTCCTCCTCTTCTTCCAGTTGACCTTCCCTAAAGCCAGTCTTCTGCTGATGTCCTGCAACCAGGAGGATCTCAATGACTGGTACCAAAGCCTGAGCTCAGCCATCAGGTATGTTCCTACTACACACACACACACACATTTTAATATTTGTAAGTACCCTCCTGAATGAATTACCTAAATCCTAACCATCACAACTATAATTGAACTATAACCCCAACCCTAAAGCGCACTCCTAATGTCTAAAAGTCACCCTCATTGTGACTCTGACCCCCAGTTTCCACCGGGTCCGTCTGTGCCGTGTTACGGCTGCGCCGCGGCGGTCGTAAGGATCGCGGCCACTCTAGTCAATGGGTGCTATTCCACCACACGTGCAGTGTTACGGCTCAGACGCGTCCCAGAAGCGGCTCGGCGCAGCGCTTCTCTAAAATTAGGATGAATCCTATTTTTGCCGCGGCGCAGCCGTAACGTAAGGTCGGGCAGGCAGCCCCCACTCGCAGGAAGTGGAAAGGTGAGCATCCGGGCCAGGCCCATCCCCCACGTATACTAATTTAGCAGACACCCCCTCCTTCATCACAACACCTCCACTACAATACGCACAATGGACGACGAGGTTTTCATCATGGAAGTGGAAAAACACACTATTTTATATGATGTAACCAATGCTTACTACAAGGACAACATCAGAAAGGACAAGGCCTGGTTTTTAGTGACTGCAGTTTGTAACAACTACATATTAATGTTTTAAAGATAATTAATACTTGTAGGTACAGTACAGAGCCATTCAATAAACACAATTTAAACAGACACAAAAATAAAACATTTAACTACGTAGCCTACTTACTTTCTTGTAGAAGTACAAATGTCCAGGATGCCTGATTCAATAACAAAACTGCGAGCCTGCAGGCACGACGCTACGCTTCTGAAACGCTTCTGGGACGCGTCCGGTGGGTTATGGCGCTAGAGGAGGTCGGACCAAAACCGCGGCGCAGCCGTGACGCAGCGCAGCGCGGCGCAGACGGACCCAGTGGAAACTGGGGGTGAGTCTGTAAAATGTCATCATTAGATTAGATTAGATATACTTGAATGAATTGGGCACTTTTGTTGTTACAGCAGCAGCATGTAAAAAAGACATTGCACATGAATAAAAAAAATCCCGCCAGGAACACCACCACTAGTATGCCATTGAGTAAGGCACTTAGTCCTTAGTTACTCCAGGGAGAATGTCCCTGTAATTGGTAATTGTAAGTTGCTTTGGATAAAATTGTCAGCTAAATGAAATGTAATAAAAAATTAAAATAAAACAAGCAAATTCAGTTTAAAACCTCAATTCAGTGCAACAAAGATAATATACCATATGACAGATATACCTTTCAGTCATGCCCTTTTTGCATCAGTGATTTCCCCAAAGTATAGAAAAATAATTGAAATGCCTAAATCCCCCCTAAACAATGGGAGTGTGTGGGAGAGAAACTCCTTCTGGAGGGAACTTTACGATGTTAGCCTTTGCAGACAATTTACATGCACAAAAACCTGTATTTTGTTATGGCCAGGCGGTGGTCCAAATGACAGCCCGGGGGCCAACTGCAGCCCATTGTCCATTTTGAAATGGCCCGCAGCAAATTATAAAAGTAATTTACCCTTAACCCTTTATATTTCCCCTTATTATAAGCAATCTGAGGCTTCTGTTTTAAGGAATGAGCTGCCAACACTTTTAGTAACTAAAAGAATGAAACCTATATGGAGAGCTGTGATGTAGGCACTTTGTTTTCTTAAAGCATATTCAATTATCAAGCATCATTTACCTACTTTGATTGATTTTGATAACTTATAACTTAATTTATCAGGCAATATACCTCACCTCTAGTGGCCAAGACCTTTGTATATTTGTCTGTATGCGGCCCTCTTTTAAAAAAGTCTGGACACCCCTGATTTAGGCATTGTAGTTTTTAGCAAAAGTAAGTCAAACAGTAGGAAAGGTGCATCTGTTAGGGACTATTTTCAGGTGCGGATTAATCAGAAGTTCCATAAATAATGGTGGGGGTCTCAGTATGCAGTGTGTGGACAGTGGTTGTCTCTCAGTAAAACATTGACGCAGGCTGGAGCTGCACCTCGGGCTGTCTCTCAGGCAGCCTCTCATCATTGATCAGCCAGACTTCAGTGTCTCACCTCCCCCCCTCCCCAGCCCGCCTGGCCCCAGGTTCCCCTAAGGAGGGTCCGGGCCCCCTGCGTTGTGGAGGGGGGGGGGCAGCTATGCTGAAGGCCCCGACCCCAGAATGCCCGGCCAGGCTAATTAGTTTATCACTTTGTCAGAGGGGGCTGTCAAAGAGCTCGGACCACCCAGCAGACGGGGGGGCCGGGGCTGCAGGCTGACGGCTCTAAACTCCAGGGAGCGTAATTAGGACTGAGGAGAGGACAGGCCGAGAGGACCGGGGGTCAGCAGCGCTCACACCACTGGGGAGGGGAGCAGGGTTGCGAGGGGGGGGTCTACACATCGCTAAATTATTGATTGAACTACACACTGCCTGGACTGACATCTCTGAATCTATCGAATGTTGCTCTCAATGATTATAAAACATTTATTATCGTCTGTGCTGGAGTCATATCACATTGGTAGACATTGTTTTCTCTTCTTCACAAAACTGCGGTTAGCCAAAGAAAGTTTTACACGGATTGTAGTTAGTGCAGAGTTTTTCCTTTTGTTAATAAAATGTTATTGACACACTAAAAAAAGGTCATAGCCAAGGGACTTAATTAGCGTGCAGATCGATGCTCGGTGACAGTAGGTGAGGCTGGGGGCTGTCCACAAGGGATGCATGGAGGCTAAAGACAGTTGATCTGCACAACTCTGACCCCCTACCCCTTCTCAAGCTGACATTACGAGATACATTTATGATATATGGCTGGAAATCATTTACATATTATCATTATTAACTAAGTGGAAATGCATCGAGATCATGTTAGAGTTTTAAAAAGGTTCATGTTGAAGCCAGTATCGTTCATTAGGTATTCTGATGCTAAAGTTATTGTTTCTTGAGAAGTCCTGGTAACAAATGTGTCCTCTGGTCAGATGTGGAACATGTTCAGATGAATGTGAATTGATTCTGCAAATTGTGTTGAAGAACTTTCTTTATTTTGGAGTTTATGTTATGGGCTATAGTGAATCACAGATCAAGCGAGGAAACCTTTAACACAATCTCAAACTAAGTATATTATTGGTATTTGTGTCACAGGGTGTCTAGCAGCTAGTAACTAACAGCATCATGGATTACATTTATATAATCATAACAGCAATAGGACGTCTATATTTGTCCCTCTGTTTTTAGGATGAGCATTTTTGGGGGGATATTTGTTGGCATGCTTACTTTGGCTTGCAAATAAGCAAAGTTGCCCAAAAAAACCACCAACTCCTTATGTCTCTCAGTCCAGCCAAAAAGTATTTTATGAACTGAAAAAAGTGTGAACGGGTTAAGTTCAAAGATGACAAACCAAAGCACCCAAAAACAAGCTTGTGACCATTAATATGTACCCACAGATTGATACCCTCTGAAAGGTTGCTACTGTAGCGGTTTGTCAATCACAGGGTAGCCACGCCCCTAACTCTACCCTGCTTTATTGCCTATTTTACCCTAAATTGTCCATTGTTTACTAAATGAACGTCATGTTGTATTGAAGAATCTAGCAAATAAGAACATACAATCACGAGGAAAATGTTTACTGAGGAAATAGATTAAATGAGAAGTTGGGTAATTTTCTCATAGACTTCTATACATTATGACTTATTTTTACAAGCAGTTGAGCCGACCCCTGCTGGCCATTAGGAAGAATGCAGGTGTAAGACAGATAAGTAGATAGATGGCAAAAAAGAGTAGTTGCAACAAGGCCTGTCAGGAGAGAAATGTGATATGTTACTGTATATTTGAGGTCATTTAGAAGCCTTACCGCACACGTATAAATATGTTTTTCCCTTGAAATGTATGTTTCATTTGTAGTTTTGTCGAAACTGATAAATTGAGTGTATTCTCTGTACAGGAAGCTGCAGTCTAAGGAGACAGTGGTCCATCAGAGGGATGAGTTGTGCCGGAGACCCCTCCGATCAGCCGCCGACAGCCACAACACGCCGAGCAGCAGCAGCAGCACTCCCGGCAGGAAGAGAACCATGGTGGGTGTCACACACACACACACACACAAAAAGATTGAAACACATGCAAAGATGTTTGTTTTACAGGTAAATACAGTTAGAACAGATTAAAACTAGAGACCTTTTTGCAATGGGATCACACCAAATCCAGCCAGTGGGGGGGGTCCAATGGCCCCTTCCCAGTTCCTACACCCTTAGTTCCAGCACTTGCTCTGACAACATCCATGTTTCTAACTCAACCTTAAATGTTGTCACCTACACACAGAATGACACAGATACCTTGTCCAAAAATGGCCCCTGTAGGTATATAAGAGTACATAAGTATAATAAAAACATCACAGTACTACCACATGTTAAAAAACAGAATATATGTTTCTGTTATCAGAGTACATGGAGAATGTTTGTTTGTTTGTTTGTAGCCTTTATTTAACCAGGTGAAAGCCCCTTGAGATCAAAAGATCTCTTTTTCAAGGGTGACCTGCAAATGTAAAACATGAATGCCACATTTAGAACATTGGGTAGTGGTGCGTTTCAGCCTCTTGTGGTCCAAACATGTATTACAACAGCAAACACCCTTATTTGCCTATTTCGGCTTTTATAGTTTTGATATAAATTCGTTTTTTGTGTATTTGACCCTTAATCAATAACTAAACAGTTATTTTCAACTTTTTGTGTCTTCTTATTCAGTCTTAAATATTTTAATTTTCCAGAGAAATATTTAGATTTAAAACCAAGTTTTCTGAGACTTTAATAATTCTCAAGCAGTTTCCATCATATTGAGGTTTACCTCTGTCCCTCTCCTCAGGTGGGCTCTGAGACCAGTGAGCAGAGTCAGAGGCCCGCGTCTGAGTCGGAGGGCAGCGCCCCCAAGAGGCTGAAGCCGACTGACGCTCCAGAGCACAGGTGGGGGGTTTTCAGTTGTCTTTTGGTCCATGGTTCCTGCTAAAGACATATGAGCAGATATTGAACTATTACATTTCAAAATGGTGACTGTCTGACATTGAAATGGTTTGAGTAAATAGGATTTGAAACATGTTATTCTGTGTCCAGCAGTGAAGAGGCGTCCCCTTCCAGCTGTGTGATCCTCTGAGGGGTCTTCAGTCTCAGATGAGGGTGGGTCCCACTCAGGCTGTCTGAGAGTTTCACTGCAGACTGATTTAATGCCAAACATAACGCACACAAAGCTATATGTCTGTGTTGTTAACATTACGTTTGAACTGTGCAGGTCAGGAGATTCTGATTATTACTAACAGCAGCGTCCGCTTCTGCTCATCCTGTGCAATATACACTTTTTATTATATACTTATTGTATAAATCCTAAGCTGCTTTAAAGACCAAATATCATGAATGTTTAACTGGGAGCGTTGTGTTGCTGCTGCTTGTCTAAACATACAATGTCAAAACCCCCACACTGCAGGTAACTAATCATGATTTCTCTTCTGGATGTCATGTTTCCGGGCAGTCCCTGAATGCACCACTCCCCCAGTCATTATCTCAGTCTGTCATTTACACTAGATACAGACTTTAGGATGAAAATGTGTATTTATTATTTGATTTGATTTAGATAGAGGAACAAATAAACAATTCATACGTGGGAAACTGACAATATAAACAAATGAATATAAACATTATAAAATCAATCAAGTAAAATGGATGACCAACTTTTTTAAAGATAAACAATTAATCACTTTTTATTTCTCACATATAATTTTTATTTTCCTTTTTATTGTTACATATCTTGTCTCTTGTCAGGACAGTTTTAATATCATATATTCAATGCCCTCTCACCTTTGAGTCAGAAAGTGTTGGTGAGAAAATTAGAAAAATTAGATGGAAAAGGTAAAACTGTAAAAATAAGATACCAAAGATTCTGATAATATAAAAATTCCCAATAATATGTGATTCATTATTTTAATTTAGTGTACATTTTTTTATATTGTCTTATTCTCTTTTATTTAATAGCGTCATATGACATCCATGATTAAGACTGGGAATGTTTTGTCCATCTTAATACAGATCCTAAATGATTCATTATCTGATCATCGGTTCAAATGTAGAATCACTGGTGTCTTTTTTGATTGTTTGTTTGCATGTGTGGATTATTATAATTATTTTCAAATGGAATCAGTGCCTTTAATCAGCTCCACTGTTTTCTAAAGATGACTGATTTATGTGTCTGTGCAGGCGAGAAAACCTGGCTTACACATATGCTACTATCATGATGTCCTTTATTTACATTTATCCTTTTATATTTCCTTTATAAATGAATCAACATATATTTGCATCTCTACTGCAAAGCTCTTCATATATTTTATTCACACTTTTGAAAGCTGTTACAAATCATGTTAACTTCCCAATAAAACTCTAAAACAAGTCATATTGTTTTTGTCTCTTGGATTGACCAAATAACCACTAGATGGCGACACAGAACAGCAGCATTATTCATTTGACTGGTTCAATCTTAAGGGTGTTTTATTTTACATTTTGCTACACGTTTTTCCAACTTGTACTTCTTATTGACAGACCCAAAGGACAACCAACACTGCAAGTCATCTTTTCCTGCTAAGTATGACAACTTGGTTCCTAGAACTTCATCAGAAATTAAGTCTTAAAGGTATTTGTACACTTTGAGTCAATCCCTAAACAATAGATACCAATAACTACTAATACAGTTTTCTATTCGCTGTAATAATTCCTGTTTATATCCAACAACAAAAGTGAAGCAGTCAATACCTGGGCATTTATTCATCATTGACACATGATCCACAGCCTCAATATTGCTGTCCACATGAACACAGTCAGCAGCCACAAGGATCTCACACACACACACACACACACACACACACACACACACACACACACCCACACACACACACACACACACACACACACACACACACACACACACACACACACACACACACACACACACACACACACACACACACACACACACACACACACACACACACACACACACACACACGTGTGAGGGGGGAGGAGACAAAACAGGGCACCAGGTGGCCACAATCACCAGTAACAGACAAGACGGGGAACACTTTTCAAAATAAAATAAGAGATAGACAAACTAAAACAGACAGATCGTGACAAATAGATGCATAAATGACATGTATATTCACATTCTTCCTGTGCCATGTTTTAGTGTAGAACAGATCAATACTTCGCCAAATATGAAGCTATATTATCCGTAACGGAGGCCGAGATCTATGGCCCCAGAGATCACCTCCGTTACATTTCCTTACCCCTCTCCCCAGAAACTACAGTGTTTTAAGAATCTTGGCTTCCTCCATGGGTCTCCACTCCGCCCGGTGTTTCTGCTTCCCCTTGTGCAGCATGGTTTCCTCAGAGGGGGGCGTGATGTCGAAAAGAAGCTTCTCTTTCTCCCTCTTCGGGATCTGATTCCCTTTTGCTTCATACTTGTGTTGCAGCTCCTCCACTCTGAGCTGCAGTTTGATCTTGTCACTCTGAGTCTGTTTGAGCCGCCGTTCAGATGAGTAGAGCTTCCTCTCCAGCTGAGCGGGGTCCGCCCGGAACTGCAGCACCTGCATCAGAGTGGCTATCTGCCCCTTCATCCCGGTGAGCTCCCTCTGGCGCTCCTCCTTCTCCTCCGTGCTGCGCTGCAGGTGACGCTGTAGGCTGCTGTTGACCTTCTCCAGCTTCTCAGCGGCCGCTCGCTCCAGTTCACTCTTCATCTGGCGGTTATTCTCCTCCAGGATTTTTACCAGCTCCTCTCGCTTCGATTTTTCTTCCTCCTTTCTGGCCTTCTGGGCCGAGAGCTCTGCCTGTCTCCGTCTCTCCAGCTGCTGACGCTCCATGATATGCTTCGCCTCCTTCTGTTGCTTCTGACGGTCCTGCTCCCGAAGCTCCATGCGGTACTCTTTAATCAGCTGCATCACTTTTTTTTTTCTTTGGGTCTGGTCCCCATACCAGACGTTGATGCAGTCGAGCTCTTCAGCCAATCTGCCGTTTTGCCTCCGGAGTCTCCGTTCCTCTTTTATCAGGGATACCTGTTCCTGTATCCGTGTGAACTGCTGCTCCATGCTCCTCAAACGGCACTCCTCCTGCTTGTCTCTGGCTGTCTGAGACTGCATGAATGACATCATCATCTCAGTCAGTTCCTCAAACTTGCCCCCTGGTTTAACAGCCGTGGCCCCCTGGTCAGTTCCAGGCCTAGCCACACCGTCATCTGGCTCCTCTCTTTGGTCGCTCTTCTTTCCTCTCGTCATTTTCACCTCACTTGGTAAATCCCACTTCTGACACCAATTGAGCGGCCCGACCAAGCAAGGAGGCAGAGGCAGAACGTCCAAATACTACCCGGTGTGGGCATTTATTCATCATTGACACATGATTCACAGCCTCAATATTGCTGTCCACCTGAACACAGTCAGCAGCCACAAGGATCTCACACACACACACACACACACACACACACACACACACACACACACACACACACACACACACTAACAAGTGTGACCTACCTGGGGGGGGGGGGGGCTGCGATAATAAAGGGGGTTAGGATACTTAACGCGAACCTGGGTTCCCCAATACGAGCCCTTAAGACAAGTCACGCAGATAAGAGTAAGAGGATGGACTGGGACGCGGCCTCAAGTTCAAATGTTTACAAAAGTGTATTATATAAATAATCAGGTAAAAGTTCAGTATTATAAAATGCAGATTAAAACTTGTTCAGCTTCCCCAGTCAACACACCTAAGTCCCACGATTGAAGGCTGGCTCTGACAAGGAGAGAATAACTAGAAGGATTATAATATCACACATATACAGTGGGGCAAAAAAGTATATAGTCAGCCACCAATTGTGCAATTTCTCACACTTAAAAAGATGAGAGGCCTGTAATTTTCATCCTAGGTATACCTCAACTATGAGAGACAAAATGAGTAAAAAAAATAATCCAGAAAATCACATTGATTTTTAAAGAATGTATTTGCAAATTATCCCTTTCATGCATAGAGGTCACTACAGTGGACAGCTATTCAAAAGGAGTTTTCTTGTATATGCATTGTTTTTTTTTTGCATAGTTGCACCATCAGCCACGACATAGGACCCTATTGCATCATCCCATACACTGCCACTCAGTGCCAAGTCAGTGTAAGTGCATGATACATGTCTCTAAACCAAGATGGACGACAGAAAGCCACATGGACCAAGTCACCCATCTATATCCTGCCAATCCTTTTATGGAAAGCGTCCCCTGCAGGTATAAAAAAGGTGGTGACATCAAGTAACAACTAAGGAATCATATAATTCATAAATTATCAAAGTATTGATGTTATGTTTGCAGGAAATCATGATTAACCACCTGTCCACTACAGTGGACGTCATGCATCACTACAATTCATACTGGTACTGCTGCTGTTGTTCCCAGGGCCGTCCCTCCCTACAGGCAGATCATGCAGACTGTGTGGGGCCTCACCTTGTGGAGGGGGCCACACCTTCCGGAGGGGGGCCTCATCTGAGGCGCACCTATGCGCTTATGTGGCGCAATTAGGGTGGCGCGGCACGGTTTCGCCGCTGCGAGGCTCCACTCAAATTGGCCCCTGGCCCTGGTTATTCTTGAAAATACTTCATCTGCAATATCTTTTTGGGCCGTAAATCAATATATTTATGTTATTATAATGTCATTTTAAGTTTGCACATCTTTATTTATCTCTTCAGTTCAAACCCTGAACGCATACTGTCCACCTGAGTGGACATATACAAATCTATTTGAAAAAACTAGATTAAAAAAAAAAAGTTCAAATCTTGTTTTTCATGCACCAAGAGCATTAGGCGCATTCACACCGCAGTACTTTTCCCACAAAGGTTCATGAGAACTTAGTCCATGAGAACTCTTTAGTTCTCATGAACTAAGTACAGATCGCGTTCACACCGGAATAAGTCCCTGGGGGAGGATTAGGCAAATGAAGCCACTGACGTCACTTCTTCTTCTTCTGCTTTGGGTTTACTGGCAGGCCGCAAACCACTTCACGGCGTATACTGCCGCCCAAAGTCCCCCGGCCGGAAGTCCCCGGAGTTGGGGACTGGCTTCTACTGAAGCCTTCCGAGTAAATCGCCAGAACGCCGACACCTCCTCATCTCCACCGCTCCCATGTTTTATTTTGTGTTGCCATAAATTAGTCTCTCTGCGTTTCTGCGCTGGGCTAATAATGCTAATGCGAGGATAATAAAATGGCGGCTTCACAAAACTTTTTGGGAGTTTTACGGGGCGTGGTTTGCAATCCGCCCAGCCAATCAGACATAGGAACCTTTTTCTCGCACGAAAGTCCCTGCTCTCTAGCAGGGACTGAAAAGGGGGTAAAAAGGTTCTCATTAACTAATTTTAGTACCGGCTCTTTTTGGTGTGAATGCGACAAAAGAGTTCTCATGAACCTTTGTGGGAAAAGTACTGCGGTGTAAATGCGCCTAATAATAACACTTGGTAAAAAAATCCTGACTGAGGCTTTCATAATTCATGCATGAAAGGTGGAAAATAAGTATTTGGTCACCTACAAACTCCACTATGGCCAAGACCAAAGAGCTGTCAAAGGACACCAGAAACAAAATTGTAGACCTGCACCAGGCTGGGAAGACTGAATCTGCAATAGGTAAGTGTAACGGGTCACAACCGTAAGCGACCTGTTATCGATCAGGGTTAGGGGTTAGGGTCTTTTCTGGCATTTATTCTGAGAACAAAATAATATTCTCTTTACATCCGCGTTGCACATCCTCAGCAGTGATCACTTCAATGTCTTAGTATTTATTTATACATTGAGAAAATATAAAATTACCAAGAAAATCTGAGGTTACCTACTGTAACCCAGCTTCTATGAGTATTGGCGCAGCCCTCTAAGGCTATCGCTATTGGGTTTACCCTTCTGCGCCCCCGCGCAGTACTGAAAACACTTGTAGTCCACGCCCACCCGCTAGGTGGGCCCCACCCTCGGGCCTCCTTCCGGTATAAATAGGGAGGTTGCCCGGCGATCTGCTCCCATACAATATAACTTTTCTTCAGCTATTCGTAGAGCCAGTGGGGCCCAGCGCTTAGAGGGCTGCGCCAATACTCATAGAAGCTGGGTTACAGTAGGTAACCTCAGTTCTATTTCGTATATGGCTTCGCCCTCTAAGGCTATCGCTATTGGGTTAAGGGCGAAGCATGATGTAGTCTGCGCCCCACTGGGTCCGTCCAGCACTAGAAGCACAGACATACCTGCTTAATAACACCACCCTGCCTGTTGTGCCATGCGTAATGGCACATCCCCGTCCCTGGAGAAAACATACCTGTTTTCCTGACGGGGTGAAGGCTGGGAACAATACATACCGACCGCTGTGAGAAAGTAGAGACGAAGGTCCCACCTTGTCCTGCGATCATACAGGGGGAACAGCCGCTCTCTCCGTGTCAGCCAGGTAGGAGAGCTCTCAGCTGGATCCCTGACGTCACTCACTCTGACCAGGCACTCCCTACGAAGTGTGTCAGAGGAAGGGGAACGTCCCTCTCCTACGAGGGGAAAAAGGGCCGCTCTCTGTGTGCCGCGAGGCAGGACAGAGGCGCACAGCTGGATCCCTGACGTCACTCACTCTGACAGGACACCCAGTACAGGGCGTGTCAGAGAGGAAAGGGAGACATCCCTCAAATACAATTGAATAAATGAACAGGGGGAAGACCAAGATGCAGCCGTGCAAATATCTTCCACTGACATTCCTCCGCGCAACACCGAGGAGGAGGAAATTCCTCTGGTTGAGTGCGCTTTGATATTCTCCGGGGGCTCCACCCCAGAGGAGACATATGCCTGTAACACAGCCTCACACAGCCAGTGTGACAGCCGTTGTGTAGACAGAGGTTGCCCGATCGAGCGCTCTCTGTAGTGCACAAACAGGCGCTGAGAACGGCGCAATGCCGCCGTGCGCGCCACATAGCAGACAGCGCAGCGCGCGCACCGGGCAGAGGAGATGAGATGTTTCTTCTTCCTCCGACCTGTGAGGAGGGGGGAAGAAGCCAGCCAGGGTGATCACTCTTGACCTAAAGAGTTGTGATGACCTTATAGGCATGAAGCCGGGTTAGGGCGTAAAACAGCTGAACTGCATCTCCATGGATCCGGAGACATGACGGAGCCACCGGGAGAGCAGACAGATCACCCTTTCCTCTGATAGAGCCAAAAGCAGTACTACTTTGGCTGAATACAGTTAAGGGGAACCTGATCAGGTTCAAATGGGGTTTTTCTTTAGTGCGCGTAAAACCAAAGCCAAATCCCACTGAGGCGCCAGTGTGCGTTACATTACATTACATTACATTACATTGCATTTAGCTGACGCTTTTGTCCAAAGCGACTTACAATAAGTACATTCGACCAGGAAGACACAACCTTGAAGAAAACAGAATCATATAAGTATATCAGGTTTCATAGAGCCAAACATTTCAAGTGCTACTCAACTGGCTTTAGGTAAGCCAGTCCTTTATTGGTATAAAAGTGCTTCGTTAATCGTTCTAACGCTCGAAGTGGAGTCGAAAGAGATGAGTTTTCAGTTTGCACCGGAAGATGTGCAAGCTATCTGCTGTCCTGATGTCAATGGGGAGCTCATTCCACCATCTTGGAGCCAGGATAGCAAACCCACGTTGATTGATTGATTGAAAAGTTTATTAACAGCTTGTATATTGGGTACAGTACAGTACAGTACAGTACAGCTCAAAACATACAATTGTTAAGGGGATGCAGACCAGAGAAAGACTTTCGTCTTGTTTACATCAGGGTCCCCCATTTCCAATTCATCATGTCATTTAAGACATATAAGACATATTTGACATACAGATGGCTTATTTACAATTTACATACAGGTGGTTTTTTACATACAGATTGCTTATTTACAATTTTCATTTTAGATTTCGTTCTAATACATCCTAACCGGACATTTAAGACATACCAAGTCTACAGATATACAGTTAGTAACAGAGTCTAAAATGCGAGTATATACATAGATGGGGGGGGGGAAGCTGTCCATTGAACGACAGGTTGAGATTTGTACCATTACCGGGGCCAGTTTTGCAATGCTCTCCCCCGAAGGTGCTCTTTAAGAGAGGTTTTGAAGGTAAGTATAGTTTTACTTTCCTTTACAGTTGTGGGAAGAGCGTTCCACCTTGATGTGGCATAATTGCGAAACGTGTATTCCCCCTTTTTTGTGCCAAATCTGGGTTTCACATGATTTGTGGAGCTCCCTCTGGTGTTATGATCA